AGTAGTAGTAGTAGTAGAAAGAAGTAGAAGTAGTAGTACTAGTCGTCGTGGTGGTGGTGGTGGTGGTGGTGGTCATAGTAGTCGTCGTCGTCTCAAAAAGGCTCGCAACATCACTTTGCATCATTTTAGCCAGCGAACGACCCTCCCGATTGCCCCTCAATTCTCCGAGACCTGAACTCGGATAGAAAAGCTACATAGAGTCCACGTCCAAGCTTCGTGTCGCAGGCTGTGCACGTGCAGTCGACCACGATCACGCAGCAACCTCAGAACTTTTGACAACTACGGCCACGTGTTCGGTTGAGCACGAGGGAAGAGTTCAGATGCTGGAGCAGATGCATGTCAGCTGGCAGCGAGTGCAGAGGTTGCAGACGCCCGCGCGCCACATGCTGGCGACCAGCGGCAATGCCCGGAACCTGGTCGCACAGTTGACCACTCGCAGCCCCACAGCTTTCAGGGCTTGCTCACAATCAGGATACAGAATACAGATGCTCAGTGCAGACAGCGTTAACAGAGGCTTTTTGATAGGTGCGTTTCCCACGAATGCCATGACAGCCGGACAGAATCTGACCCTCAAGCGTTAGAGCATGATCTCCGCACACTTGTATAATCCACCGAGGCTGCAGCACACAGAGGTGTTCCAGCGTCGAAGCCTGTGCACTTTGCTGGGCTTCAGGTTGTCGGGGCGTTGCTATTGGCAAATTATTGACACACATGCATACACACAGACATATGCACAGATACAGACATACACAGGCGCGTACACTTACACCTATATACAACTGCGCATATACAGATGCATACTAATATATTCGTACACACGTGCAAGATAAAGACATACAGACAGACTGCCAGCCACGCAGGCAGATGTATTCACAGACACAGATACACGTACATACATGTGCATTTACTTTGTTGAGGTACATTACCGCACATGACGTTGCATTACATTGCGCTTCATGACATACTACTGTGTATCCTGTTACGGTACGTTGAAATCGGCTTGCGTTGGCACACACACACACACTCACGCGATGCGCACGTAATGAGCGATAGATGTTGATGCGTTTTTTCCCGAAATGCCTGTATTGATGTAAATGTAAGTGGCTCAAGCTCTGCCAGCCCGCTTGCCCAGCCAAGCTCAGTGGCCTGGCTGCAAGGGGCTGCAAGATAGCACAAGTGCGCATGGATATGCCTCTCTGGAGATAGGACCAGATAGCAGTTTGGTGATCTTTGGCGCTCGATCTTAGCCTCAAGTGTAGTGTGTTCTAAACTTATGTAGGACCGCGATGGAAGCTTCGTTGTCCCCGTTTCAGCATGGACAACTCTGAAAAACACAGTGTCCACTCCGCTCGAAGTCCCGGTCCAACTGGCGGGTCTGTCCATTAACAGTCAGCAGCACCGAGTTCCTGCCAAGGCAACGGGCGAATGAGGACGCGTGGAAGTGCAGGTTTAGTCAGGGCTCCATTATAGGCCAGGCATTCCGACACCTGGTTTGGTTTGAAAATTACTACCAGGCTTGTCGGACAGATTAGATAAGAGATCCTAGCTGACCTGAGGAGGTGAAATGCCACCCAGTGATGTCAGCCGACGGCGAAAGTCCAAGCCATGTGTGGGCCACATGCGGGTTATGCGCGTGCCAGGATTTTCATACACAACGCAGACTCCTACATCGGAAAGGCGCTGGTCAAGGAGCTTCGGAAAGCCGAAGGCGGCCGGCCTGAGACATCGGTCACTTTCTGCCTCTCTCTCTTTGTCTCCCTCCGTTGCTATCTTGTTTGTTGTGTTGCGAGTATGTCGACCTCCGGTACCGAAGGGCTAACTCAAGACGTATAGGCAGTCTTGTTCAAGTTTGTATCGAAACAGCATGATTACTTTTGCAGCTGCATGGTGCTTCAAGCAAGACTGCACAAATGTATGCGTGACATTGCGTGACGAAATGCTTGAACCTGCTGTGGATTGTTGGAGGCTAGACGCCCAGTTGCCGGTTTGTTTGCCTAGGAGTGGCCGTGCTTGTGTTCGGCTTCCTTCAGGTCACTCAGGTATATGCAGCTGGCATAGGCTCACGAAGATGACTTATGCCAGCGAAGCTGGATTGTCCATCCACTTGTCTTGGCTTCTCTTGAGATGGCCTGAGGCTAAGCCAAACACGCCAGTACAAACAATATTCAATATTGCCGAAAAGACACCGTAAAGAGAAACATGGTATCCGGTTGGAGCCGGAGCCTCCTTAGAAAAAGTACCATACCACTCTGAGCAAATTCAGCAAGACCTGATCGCTACGGCGTGACAGGGATCCTCTGTGAGTTACAATCCACCTTTCTGTCATTGCTCGCCGCTTCATCGCCTCACTCGCACTCCCTCTGTCTCTCTCTCTTTGTCCCTCTCTCTCGTTCTCTCTCCGTCCCTTCCGCTCTTTCCGTAAGCAAATCGTTTTTTCGGCTTTGGCTTGTTTAGTCGGCTTAATCTACAAGCCTGATAGGTGTGAAGGCGCTCTTCTCCAGTGACAGTTTGTGTGTGTGTGTGTGTGTGTTTCCGTGTCTACGTGTGTTCATACTTACAAAATCTTGCAAAGCATACACACACATACATTCATACATACATGCATGCATGCATACATGAATTTTTTTAGACACAAATTTACATGTGGATGCATGTATGTATGTATGTATGTATGTATGTATGTATGTACGTATGTATGTATGTATGTGTATGTATATGTATATGTATATGTATATGTAAATATACACAGTACAGCAACATGTATGTATATCTGTATGTATGCATGTATGTATGTACGGATCTATGAATGTGCGAATGAATATGTTGATTTTAATGCATACGTGTGTCTGCTGTCTGTTATGCAAAGGTACATGGTTTTCCGTGCCTTACCATCAGGGTAGACTGGGTTCGCGGCTGGCACATTGCCATGAGAGCCACGGAACCAGGCTTCAAAGAATATACGATCATCAGGAGCCCTCCTCCCTGACATCAAATTCGAAGATGGCGACCCAAAGCACCGAGCCGGCTTGGAACACCGTTTTGTGCCCAGGCGGCTTGAACCGCATCTTTGGAACAGCCTCGAAGGCGGACCAGGCACCTGCCGCAGCAACCTGGTGATGTGAAGATATGTGAGCCCTCTAATTAACTCTTTATAATTTCATGATCCTAAGAATTCCTATGGTTCCTTTGTATCCTTGCATTCTCCGGGAATCAAACATGATCGATCGAGCCAGAAAGTCGTGGTGTTTCAACATGTTTATCACGGTGATGAAGTAGTTCAGCCCGATGCTTGCATATGTGGGTCCGTTGCACAGGTAAAGCTTCGGTTTGGCCCACATTCGAGATCCACGGTCGAAAGGCACAGCAGCACAGCCCCCCTCCGAGGTAAAGCGAATCGTCTGTCGAGATGACCCCAAGAAGGTGGGATTCTCATGATTTCAAGAGCTTGAACTGCACGCGAGCTTGGCCGCCTCCCTTTCCGGAAGGCCAAGAAGATGGCTGAGACGATCCAGTCTTGCCGTCTGGTGGCAGCATGGCTGGCACTGTCGAAGCACCCCTCTTCCGGCTTGTCGCGCTGTGTGTGTGTGTTTCGTTATTGTGCTTGTGTTTGAGTGTGTCTTTCTGTGCCTCTGACTATCTTTGTGTGTCTTCTAGTGATTCTAGTGTGTGTGTGTGTCTGCCTGCTTTGCGTGTCCGTGTCTCTCTGTTGTGGGTGTGGCAAAAAATCATTCAGCAAGATGAAGCCGACATGAACCACAAAACCGCACCAACATACCTATGACTCGGGGTGTGATGTTCTTTTGCGCCCGCCATGTCCAGCATGAGCTTTCTTCTCAGTCCCCGCGACTGACAGGTCATCAGCCTTGCGGACTGCACACTGGAAGATCTGCACTTTGCAATCAATGCCTTGAAAGTGGATCCAAAGGCCCGGGAACGAGTCTTCAAAGATGAGGCAGCAGGTGCACCGAAACATCATCTCAAACTAAACTCCCAATTTCTGCAGGCGAATCCACCGAAAGTCTACGGCGAGCTGGAGAGTGACGTCGTTTTCATCGCAATCTCCTCTGCACCTTTATCTGCAAGAAATCGTTTGCCACAAGTTGTCCTAGTAAGCCTGGAGCACAAAGTGCTCAAGCACAGGCCCCAATCGCACGGACAGCTGTTTGGCTTTGCTCGCGTTAGATTCAGGTGCCCACCCCGACATTTCGGCTCAAGTTCCAAAAAACAAGGCACATCGCACTGTGTGCCGGACACTGGCCATGGGCCAGTGCCGAGTGGCTTCCGGCCCTGTGCGAAGCCGAAAAAGCCGATGGCCTTGCCACCCCTTGGGTCTAGCACTTCTGGCTTGGGTGCTCTTGCAGGAGGCGGACCTGTGCCTCGGCAACAACCTACGGCCTTCACGTCGTTTATTAAAGGCTTCATGGCTTATCACTCCGAGCAATTTGCATGAGGCTTGAGTGGGAGCGCGAAACAACCGCGGGTCCTCTCACTGACGAGCATCCAGCACATCAAGTCCATCCAGCTTTCAACCTGGGCCATGTGACTCGCAGGTCTACGTGTGCCGGGGAAGCTGGGCTTGCAGACTTTGTGGTCTTAGAGCATTAGATGTATGGCGATGTCGCGGTGTTTGTGTGCATGTATTTGTGTAGCTATGTAAACATGCATTTTTACCATGTAAGTCAGGCCTTTGAAGTTTCTCAATACGCACTTGTTCCGAAAAGTCGCCCCGGCACCTGAGGCCACTTGTGTTCATGGTCCGAGTCAGGCAGTTTTTGCCGGCCGGCCGTCCAAGATGCACGACACGGGTAGGCCGGTTTCTCGGGTATTCACGCGTAGTCGCTCTGGATATTGCTGCGGACAACTCTGCCCTTGCACGGCCGTATGCAGTGATTGAACAGCACTGCTTTTGCGATCCCAGGCGGTACCGAATTGAAGGTGCCTTGTCTTTGGGCTTGACATACCTGGATGTGGGTTTAGCCTCCAGGACTCCGGGTTCATATTGGGCCGCAAGTTCCATGGTAACGTCCTCCCGATCAATGGGATGCCGAACGAGTACCGGAGCTCCTCTTACGTTGAGCGAAGATAGGCAAAGACTCACAGATGGAGCAGCAGAGCGAGAGTGGGTGAGATACAGATATTGGGAGAAAAGTGGGGTGTACAAATATTGGGAGAAAAGTGCCCTTCAAGCCTGTTGAGTCCTATTGAGAGAAACAAACAACTGTGTGGTGTTGCAGGCCTGGCATGGTGAATTCGCCCAGTTCCTTCGACCATAGCCTGGAATACCTTGCAGCCGGTGGTTTAGCAACAGCTGCTTCTCTGCATTGCCTGCTTGGCGACCAGTAGCAAACTAAGCTCAAGCTGCTTTCTAGCTTGGTCCTCCACACGGCGTCGTTGCTGTCGAGTGCCAAGCCCAAATCCGTAGAATCTGAAGAACAAATAGCACAACAAGTCTGATGCTCCAGGCCAAGCCGTATAAAGAACAAGAGGGAGAGATGAGGTCGGCCTCCTCGCAGTTCGAAAGGCTTCTGCAAGCGAATCTGATGGCGCCCCGGCAGCAGGGAAGGAGCGAGTTATATTAAAGACAGTGTTGCTTCTCACCTCCGGAATTTGGACCATTCAGAAAGCAGGCTTGGCTCGATCTTGTTGTCTTTCGGTTGACGCAGCTCTGTGGCACTCAAACGTGCTCGCCCTGGGTCGCTCAAGTAGCTACGGAAGCAAACGAGCGGTACCAGGGCCACGCAGGTTAGCCGGCCTGGCCCACCATTGTCTTCTCGACAACCTCCCAACCCTCCCTGCTTCGATTTCCACAGCGGTTGCCGGCGCTAGTTTTCGAGTTACAGGGCAAGGCGGCCAACTGTCACTTGCTGATTGTGCCAGAAGTCTTTGATCTATTGGGAAAGCCTGGAAGGGCTTGCCGTAGCCACCTCAGGTTTGCAGCTCGATTCTCTTGACACCCTCAAGACAGCTAAGGGTGGATACGCCGGCTAGCCTCGCCTGGGACATTGTGCCTTGCCACAGGGTCCAGGAAGCATGGGTGCCGCCTTCAGAAGCAACTTCCATTATTGTAAGGCCAAAAGGCCGCACAGAAACGAACTACGGTCTTGGGGTTTCCACTTCAGAGTCTAGCATGCGCTGCGGCAAGCTGAGGCAGAAGTGTCCAAGGGGTTTGAAAGGAAAGCACCCCAGACTCCAATCTGCAGATCTAAGAAGGGCTCGGATTTGAAACAAGAGCTGCGTCGGTCTGAGCCAGAAATGTGCTTTCTTTCAACTTCAGTCTTACCACGACATGCTGCGTCTACAAGCATTCCCATAGTAATTAATGCTTTCCACACCAGGAAGTGACCACATGTGTCGTCTTCATTGAGGAGTTTGCTTCGCCTGCTGTGGGTATGCACGCACGCCAAAGCATGTACATGTGCCCACACGGGCGAAGGTATGTTAAGTTGTTCATGCTTCTGCCTGTGAGCATCACGGGGAAAAGGAGGGCTCGCATGTGCGTCTGGCAAAATTAGGGGGAGAAACAGATTGCAAAAAACACGGTGCGAGTGCGACCGGAAGCGATCGCGCAGGTGCATAATCATTCTGGTCTTCCAGAAATGCTCGGCGGATGCGCTGACCTGGTGGACAAAGGCTCCTGGTGCAGATGTCGTTAAAGGATCATGATTTACATGAGTACTCTTCGCCGAAGTAGATCTTCTTCATTCGATGACACGAAGCTAGACACCTCTGCAATGCGCTGGTATCCGCAGTTTTGGTTTCCAGTAGGAATGCTACCAGTAAGTAGCTGCTGAGTCATCCAGATCGATTTACACAAGCTGCACGCAATCAGCGCAGACATTCGGGTTGAATCCGAGTTTACCCCTGAGCTTCACCGACAACTTCTGAGCATAGTCGGAAGTGTTGCAGCATGTATGTCAGCTTTTTGGTATGATAGGTATGCTCTACAGTCGATTGCCCAGCCGCCAACCATTGAGGTGGGCTTACATAACCTTTCTGTCGAAGACATGTGATGAGGTCAGTCTGTAGGCCGACATGCCTTCGCTCAAAGGCCAAAGGCGTCAATAAAAGCTCCATTACTATCAAAGTAGCAGTAAACATAATGATTCACAGTAATAGCATACTACTATAGTAGTAATTGTGATCCTTTCGACACAGAGCCATGCAAAAGTGAAGTGTTGCTGGATGTTGCTCGCACACCCACAGCCGATCTTTGAGGCCCGATGCAGCTTGTCCTACTCCGGGGCAAACGTGACATTGCTCAGCGAGGTGTTCAAGTTCCCGCTGCCTGTCCCAGGGTTAGTTAAGGGCCTTAAGGGTTTAGGCTGGAGAGGGGCTCCCGAGCGACGAAGCAAGCCCGATGCAAAAAGGGTTACAGCCTGCAGTAAGGTCTTTGTTGTATCATGTTGCTTCGTGCCGCAAGGGGTTTGGGGCCCGAGCGACTAAAGGAACCCTGGTTCCAGGTGCTATGGCAGCTGGTGCTGCTGTGTGCGGCATCGTGTTGTATTTTGCTGGCTTATGCGGGCAGCCTTCCCGAAAGGTTGCTTCTCCTGGCCATCGGCTACATCAAGTCTCCGCAGCAAATAATACCCACCATCCGGCGCCTTGCGACAAACTGGCACGGCTTCCACTAGGTTTAGGTAGTGGCCCCGCATGTTGACTGTGCCTCGAACCCGATGCAGGTAGGTGACGTGTCACGGATCAGGCTGCATCGCTCAGCCGGTTTGTCGGGATGAAGCTAGTTGCGAATCAGGACGGCCTTCACCCGAAGGCCATTCTCCATGTGGTGGGTCGGCCTGCTCTACGCAGCGCAGTGCCCTGCCTGCGCTTCGTCGAGTTGGGTGACCAGTGAGAACGGCATACTGTATCCATGGTGAGGCTCGAAGGGATGCCAAGCCTGCCAAGGGTTTCGGCTGGCCCTTTCTGAGGAACCTCCTCTACTTCGTTTGCCTTCAATATTGTTCTGCGGCCACATACCAGGTATTGAGCGGCTTGGAAGCAAGAGGATGTGCTCTGTGCGGCCGTGCTTTGGATCTGCTGGGGGGGTTGAGGATTTGGTCCTTACCTCGCCGCTTAACAGGGAAGGTACAGCTCCCAAGTTAAGGTATATGCAGCATGTGCACTGCGACGAGCGGCAGTCGAACCGATAGTTTGAACTTTGAACAGATGGTGACAAGAAACATGAATGTCATGTGCCTCCGTTCGCATCTAAACCTGAACTGGTACTCTTCGGAGGTCAGAGCAAGCTGATCTTCACTGCGGGTTTCATGTCGCAGATGCTTGGAAAGAGCTTCTCCAGCATGCAGATCGTGGCATTGGGCCTGCTGCTCCTAGGCGGGGCTTTGCTGTTGGAACACAATGCGGCTTTGGAATTGGGTCAGCGGGGGGGGGGGGGGGGGACATTTCGCAAAGGAACCCATGCATCGCCAAGTTTGTTCGACTGCTTTGTATGAATTTCCTCACCAGCTTGTATGAGTACCTCAGGTGTTCAAGCTCATTGTAAGACGCAAGCTCTTCTTTCGGCCACGGTGAACCCGAACTTCGGCGCGCGAACATCCGTCATAGTATGAGTCATCCCTAACCCCCCAGGTACCTGATATATAGGATACTAGAGCCCCTAGGGCCCAATATAGTAGGTACCTGGGGGGTTAGGGCATATAGCAGTCCACAGTCACCTGATGCAGGAACGCTGTTTACGCAGCTGGCCGAAGTCTCGGGCCCTGCAGTTTTGAGCCGCTTGGTCTTGGACGGGGACTTACTACTCGTACCATGATGCCTCTTATTTCGGATGCTTGTGCAACTTTGCCTCACTGTGACTTCTTTGAAGGGCAAGTTTCTGTTTGAATGCGACTTCTTGCAGGAAAGTTGGGTTAGGGTGTAGGTGTCAGGCTGCATTTTCTTTTGTCATCGGCAGCTTTCCTTGGAGATTTCAGCCAAGATATGTCGGGCTCGGGAGAGGAACTAGGCTCGGAAGCGCAGAACCCATGGGGTTGAAGGTCCAGTGGCAGACCCAGATACGAACCTCAGCCACGAGCAGCAAATCCTAGCAGCCCTAATGTTGCGTCTCATACCGTTTTTGGGCTACAGTCCCAAAGGGTCCAAGTACCATTATAGTAGGTACTTATTAGGTATCTGGGCCTCCAAAGTATATACTATACTAGTACTTGGACCCTTTGGGAGTGCTCATGCTGCCGGTGGCCATGATTGCTCTCAGGCGGATCAGCTCCTTGGTTGGGCGCCGGCCTGACGGTGTCATGGCAGATATCCGCTGTCGGCTGCAGAGGGGGACTATCTTGTTCTTTTTGTGTATCAAATGCAGCCAGTAGCCTGAGTAACCTGGCCACAGTTCTTGGTTTGTGTTGTTGTGGTGGTAGTCGCGATAGGTATTTTGTTGCGGTAGTGGTGGTCATAGCAGCAGTTGTGTTCGTTGGAGTGGTAGTGGGAGTGGGAGCAGGTAGTAGGTAGTCTGCGTGAGCTGGTGAACATGAACAGCTCCTTCCCAGCAGTGCCTCGCAGGCTGGATGCAGAAAGTAGTAAGTAGTAGACAGTAGGTAGCATGCAGCTTGTCGCATGTAGCATGTAGTCAATCAGGAGCAGCAGTAGCAGCAGCAACTGCTACTGGTACAGCCAGAGACAACACACAAGGTCACAGCTATGCAGGAGTAACACGTCGAGTTGCAGGTGCTCTCAGCCCTGCTCTCCGCGCTGCCGAATGTCTTCTACGAGCGTCTCCTGAAGGACGCCTTAAGCATGCCGGGAGTTGTCAGCTTGCAAAGTAAATGCTCAGTTCTAGGTCTAAAAACGGAGCCTACCAGGCCCAGGCTTCCTCAGAACGACCGAGAAAGAACTCTTGGTGAAAGCTTCCTTCCACTGGCTGAGCCCCAGCCTCCAGGGGAGGATCCCAGAATTTGAAGTCCCAGGAAGACAAGGACGAGTGGGTCACCAACCTGCAGCTTACCACCTGGATTTGCTTGTGGGTCATCCTTATCAAAGTCGCGGGGATCTTCAGCTTGCAAGAAGACTCCGAGGCAGCAGGTTTTGCCATCCGGCATCGGACTTCATCCGATTATGGATGTTTAGGTCCAGAGTTCGCTGAGCTGGAGATGGTTGATCATTTGAACAGTACGAGCAACGGTGAGGCTTCATCCACAGATGCAGCAAGCGCAGGAGTTTTGTTCAGAAGTCAAAGGCTGCGCTAGGTGCATAGTTTGGATAAGATATTAATACGAAAAAAGTTACAGCTATGGTACAAAGCACTGAGAGGGATACACATGGCTTTATTTTCAGCTTGGTAACCAGTTGGGGACCCAATTTGGTTGTTAAGTGCTTCGGCGGTTGGTGCACAAGAGGCGCAAGGAAGAGATCTGAGGAGGGCTCAAAGGTTTTCGGTCACTGTGCATGGAGACGTGGGTTCGCTACCTTTGCAAGAGACCCCTCTTAAGCCGGCAGTGAGTCCGAGGTTCCGATGTAGCCAGGAAAAACCCCACGCCCTAGGCCTAGATCGGAACCCGTACACACCGTGGAGACACCTTGAACTGTCTTCGCGCATGAAAGGATGATCGTGCTGGGCACTGGCCCCGGAATTCCCTCGTTTGCCGAAGCCACGGCTGGCTTTAACGCCTTCGTTTGGGCACCTGGGACTCTAAGAATTTCGCGGCACCTGAGTATAGAGAGAGAGAGGGAGCCAGCGAGCGCGCATGCGAGATCACTTTGCTGATGGTGCCATGGTTTTGACCGCAAGTTTATGCTTCTAGCAGCAGCACCATCCGGATCTACCGAAGCTGCAGCTGGGACAAGTGTCTACAGCTGAGCCTACATTTCAGGCAGAGCCCTGCCTGCGCACGGCGGTGTGTGTGTGTGTGTGTGTGGTTTGGCCTCAGAGGCCGTCTTGATCATCAGGTGATCGTGGCCCTAAAAACGTTGAACTGCATCATCATCCCGTCGTGCCTGAAATATGCAACCTGGCAGCATTCTGAGGTGTCCTTCTCCTCCCTGAAGCAAACTCTCCTAGCCCGAGTTTGTGTCTCGCCCGAAAACAAACTGACCGCATACGAGATTGTCTCTGCGGGAGTCAACAAATCTTTGTTGTTCCCAGCAGCACAAGTTTGCCTTTCATGCGAAACTCCGATTCAGACTTGGTTTATCGGACACACTAGCAAATCTGCCCCGGTCCTTTCTTGGCAGAAGTTACCTTTCCTGAAAGCCTTTCTGCGCATGCCCCAGGTCTGAATTTAGTCTTAATCGAAGATGCACACCGAAGCCGCCCAGTTCCGGCTCTGGCCGGGCAGGCGGACAACATCTTATACGGCTACGCCAAGCCCATCTCAATTGTGCTGACGTGCGCAGCGACGTCGGTGGCGACAGGCCTTTCAGAATCAGCAGCACTATTCAGAGGAGTGGCTTGATTGACGAGCTTACAGCACTTGTCATGGTAGGCAGGTGTAGTACAGACATGGTTGCCCTAGAGCTTGATGGCACGTTTCGCAGAAAGAAGGGAACGGGGACCGTTTAGCAGCTCAGTCATAGGAAGCCAATGCCGAAGTTGTATTGTTTCAGGATGTTCATGGGCCGAGTGCCAACTGCAGTTGGGTGTTTGAGGCGTTTCCTGTGTCTACTGCCTACTTGCATCAGGCCAATGGCCTTCGCTGACGATGGTGGCGGCGATCGTCTGTGTAGTTGTGTCGATCATAGTATATGGAAGAGGCTGACGCTTAAAGAGCACCTTTAATAAAGCGCGTTGAAATAGGAGTTCAACCCCGACTTGGGAGGGACACGCATTTTTGCTCCGAGTGTGTACACAGCACTTGCTCGCCCTTCTTCGTCCGGGCTCCAACAGCGAGCATCAAGAAGGCACACATGTGCACCGCGGAAAAATGCTTGACAAGGGCCGCCGGGGTTTCTAGCAAGGAGTTGTGCGAGGCAGGTTTGATTCCCGTCGCAGACAAATAAATGCTATAAGATGAATGCCGGTCCTGCACAGAGTGGGGAATTTTAACAGTTTAACATGCACTGATTTATCATACCTTTGTCGACATGTTCGACGAAGATTATGAGGGAAATACAGGTCGCCATTGCACAGCTGCCTTACACGCTGTTTGAAGCGCTTTCGGAAACTGGCAGTCCGTGCCGTGACGATATGTGCATCGCAGCCGGACATCTCGGGATAGCTAGATGAATGCTACCAGTACCTTTCCAAAACTGTTGGTTGAGTGGTAAGTTATGCCCCAGGCAATGGTATGGTCTGGCACGAAGCCAGAGGTGGCCGGAGCACCCCTGAAGGACCGTCATTCAGTGGACATGCTATCCTGGCCGTGGATGCTGCAAACTGGATGCCTCGCATGTGGTGTCGGCATTACTGACCCGGGACCCTGGCTAATTCCGCAGGACTCCGACTACCTGCGGCGGCAACCAGCCGAAGGCTCTCAGTATGAACAGCAGCCAGTCGGAAAAGCTCCGTGCATGAATCCAATGTCAGCAAAACAGACTTGGGCTTGACTTGGTCGCCCGTTATTTCGACACGGATCCTGAACGAGAGTTGCATAAAGAGGCATGAAGGGAAGAGACTTCCAGAGGTAATCAGGCGCATGTTCAACATTGGAATCGCCTGGCGAAGGGGTCCGAACTTAGCCGAGCCAGAGCGATATTTTGCTTTTGTTTGACTGCGTCTTGTGCTGCCAAGGTGGAAGGAGATGGAGGATCTCGTTTTCAGCTGTTTCAACCGCGAGGGCTCGCAGGTAAAAGGCTTCGTTGTCGCTGGCGGAGTCTTGCAGCTCGGCCTGGTTGTCGCTATTTTCTCACCCAGAAGGAGGTTCTCTTGCAGTCGTTCGGGCGTTGCTGCTCGAAATCAGGCTTCACTCCTTCCTACTCCTTCTCGGATGGTTTCAGCGGTGACGCTGTGAACGGTGGACGCGGATACGTCCGCCTCGCAGTGCAAGTGGAGCAGCTTCCGAGGTATGGAGAGGGCGAATCCATCTTCGTAGAGATGTTCAAAGATGCATGGCGGGGCGTTCAGTCCCATGCATCTTGCCCGCAACAGAACAGAGTGCGTGCATCACCGGCACCATGCAAGCGAACACCTTCGCTACATCCCGCAACATACACAAGCAGTGCAGCAGACAGACAGGCAGTAAAGCCTTGGAGTCTCGCTCTAGCTCGACATGCCCAATGCGATTGTTCCGAGGTCACCCGCGAGCACGTGTTATTGTTGTGCGACAATCTTTGATGTCCATGTAATCCGACACTGGTCACTAGGCTGTGGCGTAGTACTCGTACGTGCTACTGCTGCTGTGCCAAGCTTGTGCATTCCGGTCAGCAAGCAAGCCGGCCGATTTCGATTTGATTGGACCTCGACGGCAACGAAAAATACCATGTCCGGACACTGACTTTCAGTTGCACCAGCGGCGCGGAGCTGGTTTTGTTACTCTGCATTCTGGTCTTGTACCAGGGAATGCCATCACTGATCATGGCGAGCATGCAACCGCAACCCTGTGCCCTCCCCACATAGCGTATCCAAACTGCCAGATAGAGCCTCTGGTATGTGTCACGGAAGTCATTAAGGTCGTGGTGACTCCGGGCATCAATAAGGTGCCCACTGTGCCCAGGCTGCAAGCTGAGTAGCATGGCTACTAGATGCATTCACTCCACCGGAAGAGTTGCCACATGTATGCATTAACGCCCGTGTGCGTGGGCCATCTGGTTATGCAGCCGTTGGATCCTCAAACTGTTACGCAAGAAGAACCAGAAAATGTTGCTCTACGACTAGCACGAAAAAGCAAACCCACAGCTCGATCCTTTGTCCTTCCCTTCCGCTCTCCCTCGATCTGCTCTCTGTCTCTCTCTGTCTCTCGCTCTCCCTCTCTCTCTCTTTCCCTTTCCTCTTCTTATCTGTGTAGTGCATACATATTGTATGTATACATTCATACGTACATAGTCGAATATATATATATATATAGACTCATGCATACAGGAATCAGAGAACATATCGGTGCACGTTTACATGTATATGTAGCTGGACATGCCCACAAACACACATCCATAGTAATCCATAGGGAAATAGTCATGCGTTCCATGGGCTGTAGATGTCTCTGCCGGTAGATACGCTGGGAATGAGGTCCACGTGCGGGATATGGCGCGGGTTGTCCGACAAGTAATTACGAGGCTTGGTCACAACAGGGTGCCTGCTTTGCACTGTGGCTCTGTAGAATTTGTCGCTCGAGATTTGCCCGTGGCTGTCGTTGCACGGGCACAAGCTTTTGATCTCGCACATGATGTAGGTCTGGTTGATGTTACCACTCGATGGCCATAGCCCAGAGAAAAGATAGCATGCTGGCCTGGACAAGACGAAGCTCTACATGTACTGCGGCTCTATTTTCGTTGCGGCAAGCAGGAACGGAGTGTGGGACCTTATATCATTCCAAGGAATGCAGAGGGAATCAACCCCTTGGAAGCAACTCCGTACTTCCTTGCTGTTGATCAGCCGTCGACACCTCAGCTTTCCTAGCAAGGGCCTTCTGAAGTGTTCATTGAACCCATAATTTCATCGCGAAGGAAGTTCTGCTGACGAAAGCTTGTTATTCAAAAGGGCCTCTCAGTGATGTTAAGCCTGTCCTGCGAGTTCAAGCTGGAGGGTTCGCCAACGGTAATGCGCTTTCAAGTCCGAGGCCAGCAGCAAAAGAAGGGCAAGCACCAATGCCGGCTTCGCAAAAAGAGCCTGGCCTGCAACAACAAACCACAGTGGAGCACAGAGTTCGGTGTCCACTGATGGATCGATCGGCACAGTTGCCAGCTGCCTTGTGGACGAGCCTTCATCCACAGCCATAAACATGCAGGACCATGCAGCCTGATGCTGCCATCGTAGTATTTCTCACAACCAATCTGTTTGTCTGTCTGTCTGTCTGTCTGTCTGTCTGTCTGTCTGTCTGTCTGTCTGTCTGTCTGTCTGTCTGTCTGTCTGTCTGTGGTTCTATCGATCTGTCGTTACGTCTCCGATCGAGCTACCGGTCTAGTTATCTATCTATTTATCTGTTTATCTATTTTTCTATCCATCTATCTACCCGTTTAAGCCATATGTGTGTGCGTCACATCTCTCACTGTTATATGTGTTTATTTGTATATATATATATATATATATATAGATATAGATATGTGTATATGTATATATATATATATGCGTGTGTTTATATATGTGTATGTACACATATGTATATGTATGTATGTAAGTATGTATGTTTGTCTGTCTGTCTGTCTGTCTGTCTGTTTGTCTGTCTGTCTGTCTGTCTGTCTGTCTGTATACACACAGAATATGTGTTTTATTTATATATGATGTGCATATTTGTATGTATATATATATATATACACGAAGAATGGAGATGTGTGCTGGTTGAGTACTTCCACATGTTGTATGAGACTACTTACTCGCAACACCGGACGGCACATTTATGTCATTTGTAGGTACTTGTAACTACTTATCTAATGTATAGTACTTACTCGTGCAAAGATGTATGTATGTATGTATGTATGTATGTATGCATGTGTGTATATATATATATACATTTGCTTATCTACCTATGATTTATTTATGTGCAAATGTTGATACTGTGTGTGGGGTGGGTGGTCCAGGAGCCACGCCCTCAACGTGTACGTATGTAATTTTGCTTGAATGCATGTATGTAACATGTACGTATGTATGCATTCATGCCTGCAGGTATGGATGTGTGCAGATGCATACATATGGACATATGCGTGTGTGTGTGTGTGTATGTATGTGTGCAACTACATGTACAAGCATTTGTGTGTGTGTGCAGACAACTATGTATGTCTGCTTGAAAATGAGTATGTATGCATGCATGTAAGATGGTTGTTGTGTGCATATGCATGCAGACTTCACTGGCAAGGTGCAAGTAAACACGCCAATGACAAGGCATGTTTCGATAATCAAGAAGGTTGAGAAGTCCACATCCACAGCTGAAACACAACTGCTGCTGAGGGTGAGATCGTGAACACAAGTGGACAAGTTTAGCTGCAATCATTGAGTCATGCAATTGCGGTTACTGGGGGCTGAACTGTGACCGCGAGATGCAATTTCATCAGTCAGGATATTGTCCAAGCCATTGTGGACGAAATGGGCGAGCATTACGATGTGCCACGCGTGTCCAAGGCGCTTCCTGCTTTGGACTCTTGTTCTGGGGCATGGTGAATCGAAGACCAGTTTGTGCCAGCAGCCAAAATCTCAGAGCTGCAGGAACGTCTAAGTCTTAAGGTATTTTCTCTATTCCAGACATACCAAGATCTCCCGTGCTGCAGAGGCAAGCATTGCTAAGGGCGGGATGACGGAGCTGCAGGCTGGGCTGAGCACTCACTTTCATCTCATGGCATTGGGGTTTCAGTAAGCTTGGAACCGAGGTCCTACAACCGGGGCATGTGTTCGGATTTCAGGTGGCCTTTTTTCTGGGAGAAGTTCTGTGTGCTCGCGTTAAGCACTTTGGGCTTCTGTGGGCCAGGTTTTGATCATGTGTGGGTTGTGTTGAGTCCGGCGGGCTGGTTTGACCCGTCTGGTGCCGTTGCGCAATCAACAACTATCGTCGATCGATTCATGCTCTTAGTTTAGTGTCTCCCGAAATTGGAAGCCCTCTCCAGGACGCCATGGCCTTGGACCTTTGGCTCGAACCATCGGCCATTGCCCTCGCAGAGGAGCCAAACGATGACCTTTCACATTGCACGATCAGTAGCTTCAGTCTTGAGAGATCAACGAATCTCACCGATCAAGGAAGGTCCATCTAGTGGAATCCTGCGGTGCAAGGCAGCGTGGTACTTCGGGCGATCCGTGTTTCAGGACTTTTGCGCCAGCCTGGAGCCTCCCGGATGGATCTGCAAGCCGCTTGACACGGTCAAAGTCCTGATGGGTTTTAATTTTAACATTCCGGCTCAGCAAGCTGCAGGATCCGGTTTCTGGGAGTTCTTTTAGTCTCGCCAAACTGTTCCTGAAAGAGGTAGCCCCATGACATGTGTTGAGATGTCGAGGAATGGTTTGCTCGCAAACCTTCGGACAATTGCCGATGAGTTCTGCAACGGCCAGAAGCTGCGGGCCATGCGGTCCCCCGCTTGCAATGCAACCGTACCACAGTGTGCGATGTCGCTGGTATCCGTTCTGCATGAAGACAGCTCGTCAGTCACGGTTAACATGCCGTCAGGATCCTCGTTGCTGGGCCGCCGAATTCGGGAAAGACGAATCTAGCAACTGGGCAGCCAGAGCACCACTCGTAAAGATTAGGTGCAGGATGATCGCTTGTGGAGTGATCAGAGTGGCGGTTCTTCAGCGAATGGTCGATGCCGTGGCCGCCGGAGCCCTCACTCCTTCGACCCATGACTCTTGAACCCGACCTCATAGCGCTCTAGCGACTCTAGCGAACCGAAGCTGCCGGACTCCAGATTGGGACATCAAGTAGCTGCTTTGTCCAACTTTCCCTTGCCTGTGGCATGCGACCACGTCCAAAGCTGCATTTGCAAAAAACCGCGGAGCAGAAACTCGCAGAATCCTCGGCCACTGGATGGGATGACTGGCCCTGAGTTCTGATGTCAACTCTTGCTCCGGCTTTTCCGGCGATCCTCTCAGCACATGTCGGCGCAACTCCTAAGGCCCAGGCTGTGGCGGATCACTTCAAGGTGCCGCACCTATCCTTGCCCGAAGAGTTGGGCAGCACGGATCTGGACAAAACGAAACTTTCCGCACAAAAAGGGCATGGGAAGGGGAGGTCGTCGGGTTGGTTGTGCCGCGCCTGGGGCTGCATGGTGTTTCTGAGACTAGAGCTGGGAGCTGGTAGGAGTTGAACTAGAAGACTGGGAGCCTCAGTGTAGTTCAGACAACCTTATGATGAGGAGATGAGCTTGAGTCAATATAACTTTGCGTTTGGTCTTGCATGCCACTTCCGCGTCGCGTTTCGAGGATATCGCAGATCTCCTCCAGCGTGTGCCACTTCCGGGGATACGTCCTCGATGCAGGCTGTGGAGATCACGACATGCCATATCACTAAGGATCTAGGAGATGTTAGGCATACCGGGGCCTGCCTTGATGCCAACTGCTCAGCCTTGGCAGGGGGCATCGGTTTCGCAGAGGCGGAGAAGCTCCTTGGTTGAACACATCGATACTCGAACATACTGCGCCGAAAGCATCAAAGTGCTTCAGATCTTGGGGACGGTCAGGCAGCTGATGGGGAGGGTCACTGTCGCCAAGGTTGTTCCGGTACGACATAGAGGTGCCGAAGACAGAGGAGGCACTTCTGGGTCGTAGCGCACGTGGACACTCAGAGTGTGTCTTTGTGTTGGCAAACTGCCGCTGTTGTTTACAAGCCCTTCCCATGATGTGAGCAATCAGCACCAAAATCGGTGTGCAATATGTTCCAGTTTGAATATTCATGCTTTAAAAATTTAATTTTGGCAGTGCGAACACCCGTTCAAGGTAGCCAAAACGCGGCTCCATGCAAGTCGCTTGTGCTTTGTCTCGAGCCTCGCATAAAACAATTACGTTGAACATCAGGTGCATGGCGGACTCGATGAGCTACGGTGTGTCACAATGAAACTGATCCCCCGACCCACACGAAGCAGCTCTTGGGCTTGAGGTCCGTCAACGGCTCTTTGACCCCACCGTCCTTAACCCAAGAGTGCCTCTTCAACCCCAAGCTCCCCTCGAGAGGAGCAGGAGGCTGAGCCGCCAGAGGGCGGAGAGCCGACGCCGCCGAAGATTGAGCGAAGGCTCAACGAGGAGAACCCGGAAACTGCAGTGAAACTGCTACGCCATCTGAAATTCACTTCCAGTCGGTGAAAGTCCTTGTGCTGGTTTTGGCGCTGTTTGGGAGGCAATCTGTTGACATGTTCAAGTGCATGATTTGACTCAAGACACATGTAGAAGCCGTGTCATGGCGCGAGGAGACGTGCCCGGCCATGGCATCTTGGAAGAACAGCTAATTACGTTGCATTCTCTGCGGGGAAGGCCCACAGGTATGAGCATGACGAGTTCATCCTTTGCCTTGGTGAATCTGAAGCGTACTGTAGAAATCTCAGGTGATCATCACACAGGCGCCGGCCGCTACCTGCAAGGCTCGATGGCAGAGCAGCGGTGCTTCGCTCGAGGCTTTCGAGAAGTCCATGCAGGCCAGCTGAAGTTGCTTGTTCGAAGAGGTCGATTTCAGGGATTCCTCGGGCAGGCCTAGAGCAGCTGGCACGATGATACCAGCATGACGCTTAAGCGTGAGCTTCAGTAAGCTATAGTCAGGAGATATCCTTCGAGGTGACTGCTTGCAATGAGCGTAGAGCAACTCACCTTATTTGATATGCCATGATTGCGACTCCAGAATGGTAATGTGGAATCGAGAAATGTATGGCTTAAGTCGTGAACACTAGCAACTCGAAAGTACAACCCAGACGTTAATTTGGCTGTTTCTGTCGGTCAGTTGTTCCGAGTTTTTCCCAGCATTGCTTCGAAGCAGATGGATGCAAAAGATGCTGCACGGCCCTTCCAGGCCTATGTCAACAACAACCTCACGCAGGATGTGCACAGCCTGCAAGACTTCTTCCAGGATGTCGCAGGCAAAGGTGTGCTCAACCTTCCCATTGACGGCAAGGACGAGGAGGACCCAAGCTGGATCCTGGAGCAAAAGTAGTCTCCCGGTGGGAAGCATGCATACGTACTCTGACTTGGATTTCAATTGCCGCCTCTCGAACGTGTCATGCGGTTGGGCAAGCGGCTTGCTGTCGCATCATGTGTGATTACTTGGGCGAATTGGTTGAATGCCCACTCCAACAGCCAGGACATCTTCGAAAGTGCTCGGATATACATCGAGCGAAATGGACGGCCGTACAATTACCTGACTCCCGAAGAAGAGGCACTGCGGGGCTCACATGGTAGCAGTTCCGTCCTGTTGTACGCGTGGCCCGCAGGTTCTGCAAGTAGTTGGGATGAGTACCTCTACGGGAAACGACGGAACAAGCTGTCGTATCTAGATTCTAGATCCCATTTGCGTTGCCTATAAAGCTGACAGCACCTATCCAGTTTGCATGCATGCTGCCGACCCCAAGCTCGAGGTCTCGCGCCAGATTCGTGAGCGTCGGGCAGAGATGCCTGCCTGAAGTTCTCCATCAAGGGCCGGCGTGAGCTGTGTTCGTGAAGTTCCGGGTGATGCTGAGGGTGGCCGTTCGGAATAGAAACACCGCTCCGTGTGCGATCATACAACGCGATTGCCGACGGCTTCAGCCGAAAGAGAACAGAATCCAGTACTCTTGCAGATCCTTGGGTGGACTGAGTTCCTATCACCGCATCGGACGTTCACCCGCCTAAGAAAATCGGGGTTCTGGCAATGTGCGTTACTGTGGCTAAGTAGACATGACCGCCACACCAAGGAAAGCCAAAGCAGCTGCCGAGGCTGCAGAGTCCATGAAGCAGAAGGCTCGAGCAGTCCAGGGACGGAATAAGTCGAAGGATGCAGGCGACGGATGAGCATAGTCCCTTCGTGTTACATCTTGATCGCATAGTATACCCCTCCACGGAACCCACCGATCACTGCCATTCACTGCCTTCATGACGAAGAGGGGCTGGGATCTTCGGCTGGACGGGAGGAGTCTGGAGTGGATGATACGCTGTCAGCAATGTCAGCACACCTTTGATGAGTGCTGATGCCTTCTGCGCTTGATGCAGCTGTGGCCGTTGCCCTGCAGTCTCAAATCGTCATGTGAATCTCCGGATGGTGCTGAGAAAGCCCGTCAATTGTAAAGGGATCCGAAGTCCCACCAGGATGACATCAGTGCGGAGAAGAGGGAGGAGCAAAGGCATGCAGCCCGCCTCCGCATCGTCGCGGACCATGAGGCGCGCCACAGGGTCAACTTTCTCCTGGTCTCCACGGCACCTCGGAGAGAGGCATGCAGCATGCATCCGAATTCCGATCAGTGTAGCGCAGGCAGCTGTGTAGGCAACCCGTCGAGGCTGCACAGCAGAAGCTTCGGGATCTGCCCCTGCGTGAGTACCTTATGCAGCCGCTTAGCTGCAGATTAAGGCCATGCATCCCTAATTGAGGAACGCTTTATGAGTAGTAAGCGATGCTGTTCTGGGAACTATGGATGTGTCCGATAGTCTTGTACAGTTGGACCGTGTACAATGTATAGCAATTATTCAGACGAGAGCAAAGCAACTAGGTCTGTCAAAGCAACAGATCAAAAGAAACGCTGCGTCCTGTCTGCTTGCGGGGAGAGAGAGAGAGAGAGAGACCCCTGTGGAAGAAGAGAGAGAGAGAGAGAGCTGTTCTGTTCTCCCTTAAGCCCGGAGAACAGAACAGAACAGAGTGTACCAAACACCAAAGGTCATCTCCGTGTACTCTATGTATACTCCTGACGTCCTCCTGCATTCCCTTTGCGTTTGCCTCTCCCTCACCCTCCCTCCTCTCGCTGGTGTCCCGGTCTGTTCGTCTCCTCTCCTGATCTACAATTCCAGCTCTTTGGTTCTAAAAGCGAGTGAGTGTAAGACCCAGGGCCCTTTGTACCCAAAAGCCAGTCCTCCGCCTTGGTTGTCCGACGGTCAGCGTCAAAGAAAGGTACATGGTGCCCAATCTCACCGAAGGCCTCGTCGAGGTCTGCAAGGCTGGCTTGCTACATGAAGCATTTGGGGAGGCAGGAATATGCGGATTGTTTCTGATACGCGTGTGGACGCGTGTTAGAGGGATGTTCATCATAACGGGATGAATATTACTAGCAGAGAGTAATGGCTGGTAACTGTAAATAACCATGGCAGATTAGTTATAGTAGTATTGGTAACAATAAGGATCAACCACAGCAATCCTGCAAGAATTAGAGTACATGAGCTAGCTGTCCTTGTTATCCAGCACAAGACATGCACCAGAAGCTCCCACTGAATTGTAAGGACCGGTTTGATTCGTTTCGACTGTGCAGTTCTTGCATGGGAGGTGTTGCCAGATGATCCTGTGGATTACCTGGCAAACTACCTGGAGGAGCATGCCGCAACTTTGCAAACAATCAGAGTCCTCCGTCGCCTCAGTCGAGGTGATTGATGCAAAAGGGCATGGCAAGACTGTGGATGCTGTGCATACGGAGTTTCTTCGACAACATGTGCGAACAGCTAGCTGAAGCTCCGGTTTCCGACTGCTTCCTACAAGGCAGACCTGGCTGCTCCGAAGCGATGAGAAAGGCTTCAGACGCTTCAGGCATGTAGGGCTTTATGGGCTTTCCGGGGTCGGGTTAAGTGTTCTTGGCTCTTAGGGTGGGGTTGATGAGCAAGCACGTTGTAAAGAGTCGGGCAGGCCGTGGTGGCAGGTAAAGTTTTTGCTTCTGTGGCACAACACATGCGCTTGGTGTCAGTAGCACCCCACTGCTTGAAAGACTCAACTCATGACTGGCAGCAAAGACCTTGGGATTCGCGAGGCCACTGCGAAGCTTGAGAGCCATTGTTTCCAGAGGTTTCACACATCTGCCTCCGAAAGGCCAGGGCATGTGAAAGCAGACGGTGAAGGTTTGATGAAACGAAACACATCGGATGCCATCCTTCATGAGCTGTTCTTGATGGAGGAGTCTACCAGATCCATGGCACGAAATGGTTGCCAGCGGTAGCTAGGTTTCAGCGATCGTTCATTGTCTCACTGCCCGCATCACGGGTCACATCACTCTCTGTGCTGGCAAAAATGATTGCATAATCACACTATCAATCTTCAGTTAAAGGTCGCCATATGCAGATCCTGTTTCCTAAAATCCTGTATCAGGCATCGACAGCATGATGCCATCATTTTCGTAAAGCACTGCTGGATAATGCTGTGTTGTAGTCGCGTTGTCAGGAACAGAAGGAATGATGGCCGCAGAATCCACTGCTGTGGAGTCCACGAATCCCACCATCCTAACACCACAATCTCTGGGCGTTTACATAAGGTCTGCGTCGCCGATGGTGCTGGCCTCACATGTCTTATAGCACCAAGCCTGATGGTAATAAGAAGGACCGCCGTAGCAAGAGCAAAGCGTGCAGAGAGCAGAGAACTGCCGGGACTTGGCTGAGTCTCGGCTTGTATGTACTTGCCGAAATACTTGAAGGCAAACCGGATCCATGGTTGGTCAAGACTTGCTCTCATCTTGGGTTCTGTATGTGGAATCCTATCAGCCGCCCTCTCAAGACTCCAGGTATAACTCAAGGGATGTAGCCGCAGTCAGCGGCATGAAGGCGGTTCTGACAGGCCATCATCCTTTCAGCAAAGCTTCCCGCCCAGTTTGGCCATCTCCAACTCCTGAGTACAATTACAAGTGGTCCCAGTTCCACGGGTGCCTTTGAAACCTGTACACGTGCGGCCAAACAAACTCCCCAGCATGGTAGACGCAGATCTCAGGGCGAAGTTGATGCACGCCGCCTTGCCCGGAGCCAATCGCGGGGACTTGCAGAAATTCAGACCTGCTGGACGTTGTTGGACTCGGTGTTTGAGCGATCACCGGCATCATTGCTGTGGCACTTTTTTTCGCTTAGAGGCGCTGGGCCTTCCCTCGCTAGCTCTCAATGAATAGATGCTTCCCTCGCCCAGGGCGCCCTGGTTCAAGAGCAGCCGGAGCTGGAACAGCTCCTGCGGACTGTTTGGGCGGAGGCCATTCAGATAAGGAGACCCGTCATGTGCAAGATGTCTTTGTACAGGAAAACTTCGCAAGCATGCAGATTACTTGTGACATGCGGGATGTGTTTGTAGTCTAAGTGTTGGGGGAGTTTTCAGACCTGCACACCCATGGCCACTGCTTGTGTGACTGTGAAAGTCGTTGGTGATCTCCCTTGCGAAAGCACGGCTAGCTAGTCACAAGCGGAAACTCTCAAGTGCCGATGTTTTACCAAAGCTGTTGCTGCCCGCTGTCATCAGGGCCCCCTTTGAGAGGCGCTTGTGCTTTCGGATCCCTGGCATGCCCAGGCCCATGGTGCAGCGGATGGGAGCCAGGCCCGAACATGGAGTTGAAAGGACTCCCGTGTGCATGGTAAGGGCATCAAAAAGGGGGAGGTGATGGGCAGGGACCGGGCTCTGGAGACAGAACTCATGATCACGCGCCTTCCAGAGGTTGCGCGGCTTTCTGGCCAAGGATTCTCTGACAGCATGGCTGTCGCCCTAAAAGGTCAAGTCTCTAAGTCAGACACGACAACCATTGAAATAGTATGCCGAATCATAACCATGCTTTCTTCTGTTGCCCTATTGTCCCCATCTTCCCAGCTAGTTGACAAAAGATCTAAAAGCAGTTCTGCAATCTGGAATCGCAGACTGATGCAACCTGCGTGCACCACGGGGCTCTCCACCGCTGAAAGAATCTGCATCGGTACTTCGTGCCAGGTGCCGAGATCCGCGCTGGTGGAAGCCGCGATGCAGGCAGGCGGCTGTGGCGCAGTACCGCAGCTTCCTCCGATTGTTTCTGTTAGACATGATTCTGGTTCTCTTACATTGTGGCACAGATGCAAGCTAGCTGTTTGCGTGCTCCAACCGCACACAGAACATGTTTGGCAACACGTCGTGGTACACGTACGTGCCAATGTCAGGATCCACTAATGCTTCATGCATTTGTCTGTGGCCCAGACAAATGCAGTGCCGTTTGGTGGAGCAGCTGTGTCGTGTTGTGTCTGTGCCATGACGACCAAAACATGGCTGGTCCAACATGGGGCGATTTCGGGATGCAAGTCTAATCACTTCTTTCGGCAAGAGGGGTTGACATTCTGCAAACATCTATACAGTTCAAACCTTGCGGATTTTCAGCCAGAAGGCTAGTAGCCGTTCATGAAGCCAGATGCAGGTGCTTGCCCTACTAATCCGACGAGCTGTTTTGGACCCAAGATGGTCTGTCGATGCATTTGCATGAGTTCAATCATGAACAGTCTTGCAGCAAGACACGCGCGACCGATGACACTTCGCAAGCCACCGAACCTGGCAAAAGCTTAGCCACATTTTTACAGCGGACTGCCTTGACAGCACAGCCAGATGTATTTCGGCGAAGGCCACGAGCTTTTGCTGGAGACTGCAGACTCCTTTTTGTCGTGTGCCGGTCTACTCCCAACAAACCCTGGCACAGAGCATTGCTGGGTGTTGGCTCAGCATTCTCCGGTGAACGCCCCTGCTTGTGGGGAGCCTAGGTAGACGCATAGCTCGAAAAGTTCGGCCTTTTGCGTGGAAATGCTTGGATCGAACAAGCAAGCTGACTTGATACATGCAAGCGTTTCTTGGCTATAGGCTGCAGTAACCTAGCGTGCTGACAGGTCCATGGAACTCTCCTTTGCCGGGCCTTCGCTGGAGTCGAGACGCCGAGAGGCTCTCCGCCACCCGGCGAGCAGATAGCGGGTCGAATTGAAGCGTCGCTGAAGGGGTTCGCACTCCCGACAGGTCTCACATCCGTGAGAGGCGAAACTTTGTCTGGGGTTTCGTAACTAACATTGGCGGAGAAGAGCGGTGCGCATCAGTGCACCAGCCTGGACGGGGCTCACACTCGCCTCCTCCATCAACTGCTCAACATCCTTTTGCAACTCAGGCCGTCGGCTGCGACCCGCGATTTTGGTGCTGGTTTCCTGGGGTCTTCTGGCGCTCGCGATTTGGTCGGCAACCGCCACCGAGGCCTGCAAAACGACTCTGAAGGGCTAGCTTGTCGGGGCTGTTTTTGCTTGGTGCAGAATTGCTTGCATTACGAGCAACCTGAATGTCACGATGTTCGTAGTGCGGGCTGCATGTCAAGATCGCCAAAGAAGCCTCCTTTGTGAGCATAGGTCTCAGCCTCGCGAGAGGGGAAAAAACCCGACTCTGAGCCTAAGTGCGACCTCATTCGGCATAACGATGCCGTGGCAGGAACCAAGTTACGAGAATGTCGAGTTTCCCCACTCGACGCCCTACGACTCTTACAACCTCACCTTCGCGACGGTACCTGGCCTTGTGAAATCATGCCTCGTAATCAGAAGTGCTCAGCTTCCAGCTCAACTGTTGGTTATTGTTGTATAGTCATGCATGGGTTTTATGTTATTTGCCCAAGATGTTGAATATTCCTGGCCGCTAGCCCTCAGGACAAAGAGCTCAAGACCAACTTTGAACTGTACCTGTTAATCTGACGAAATTCTGAAGACGGAAGCCCTTAGGTGATGCTGCAGATCGTTGCGGCTTCGGCCGGTGTAGTGCTCATGCACGCCCGGACCGACTGCCTGTTCCACCTTGGGGCAATTTTGTACCTGTGCCGGGCTGGTATTGTAGGAACTTGTAGTGGTTAGTTAGAACCTGTTGTGGAAATGGAGGTATATTTCATTGGAGTCAGTGAAGGCTCGTTATGTGGATCAGCGAAGCAGCCCTGGTTGTCCAGTACATCTTGCAGTTCCTTCGTATCAAAGACTATGGCCTGACGGTGGCGATATCGCTGGGTTGCCTGCATGGCGTAGGCTTCGGTCATCAGAAGACTTTTATCTTCAACTGCATGTTGGACATTGAGCTTGTTTTGGCCATAGATCTGGGTACACGGAAAGCTGCCCGCATGCTGCTCGTAGATGCACTGCTCTCAATTCTCGCTGTTACAGCAGCTGCGGCCCAGCGACTGAGGGCAGATATGGGTTTGCACTGGCCCGACTCGGTTCGAAAACTGTCGAGCATGGTTTGTTGGGCGTATCTGTGTGCCAGCCTCACTTTTGCTTTTCAATCTTTCGAAGTGATGGGCCGTGTGCTCCGGCTGTCGGAGGACACAACTGCTCGTTTAGCACACGAAGCCAAATCACGCAGTCAGCTATGGTTTCAAAATGGTGACCCGGAGATTCGGGCTACATTTCACAAGTTGCGGAAGCACAGGCGGCACGTTTTGACCTTGTCTGCAATTCGGCTGCTGGTTTTCGGTCACATCATGCTCTTCGGTGGCTTCCTGTGGCCACTTCCTGCGGACTTGAGTGCCCAGGTAACCGACAGCTTGGGCGGGGGATTTGCTGGATATTTGATGACAGACTCGGTGCTTATTACGACTCTGTACTACCTCTACCTGATCTTCATCGTCTGGTATGTATATGGAGGCTTGTCGTCTCTTGTGGGCATCCATGCACGGTTCCAAGAGGAGCTTTGGAGGCAATTGTCGGAAGGTTTGGAAGCTCGCTTCTACTTTCGCCTGTCGGGAGCACACTCCGAGAATCTAGCGGCATCGCCTTAAGCTAATGCTTCGTATAAGGCAAACGAACGAATGTGCGAAAATTGCTGTGGCCGAGGAGGAGATGCGCTTGGCGAAGCGTGCCCACCAGCAAGCAAGATTTTCTTCCTCAAGCGATCCGAGATGGCAGGCTCGCAGACACATGTGTACGCGATGTGGGCTCTGTCCTCAAAGGAAGCGCAGACTTTTTCAACGCAGCATGAAGCATGATCGAAGCATGATCTGGCCCATGCGGGCCATAAGTCGAGCTGCTGTTGGCGGTACTATATCCATGCAGCAGAAACTCGAGCTTCAACAATATCGCTTGCGGTGCAAATTCAAGTTGCAAGCAGTCCGGGTCTAGGATCAGGATTTCGCAGGCCTCCAGACTTCAATCGTCGGATATCGTCGGCATTTCAGCATTTCACCCCGAAGCATTTGAGTTCCCGCTCTCCCAGCTATGCCATGCTATGACAGGCTCAAGTCCAAGATCTGGCCTGCCGTGCGCAGCTCGAAGTGGATGTCAGGAAGTAGGGCTTGTTCAGCCTGAGCAAACTACTTTGAGCAAACTACTTTTTGTTTGTTTAACGCGCATGGTGTTGCTGGTTTCGAGCTTCCTTGATTGTTGGGGAGGGTGCCTTAGGCTGGCATTTGACGTAGCGTTTCCGTGGTCCTGGTGTTATGATGCCCAACAAGTGATGGAGACCTTGAAAACGCAAGCGGAAGTCAGCTGTTTGGAGAGGGAATGAAGCGGGAACTCTAGTTGTCAGCTGGTTGCAAGCATCTCGTCCAACGATCAGCTTGGCATGTGTGAGAGGAAGATCTCTGCTTTTGACTACCTCTGAAGTCCGAGGATTACCGTCGAGGTGCTGCTGGACTTCTACCACGGCCTAGGGCGAGACTATATGCGGGGCTTTAACCCTGACAGGCCTGCAACTCCAGGGACTGCAGCTGGTGATCAAGCTCAAGGCACAGGGTTTCGAAATTGGTGCTGTGGTAAATGCCGGCAGGCACACGACCAGTGATGTGGTGCGGCAGGCCATCATTCCCCTGAGTGCAACTGGGTCCGACACTGGAACTGATAGACGAGGGACCCAAACTCGCACCGATGCGAACTGCGGCTAGAGGGCATTGACCTGACAAAGCTTTGGCAAAGCTTCCTAGAGTCAAGCCCGAGCGCATTGAGGAGGGCTCAGACATCGTGCTGGGGCAGAGTTCCCGGCCAAGTTATACCTCAATTTAGTCTTGAATTGTCCTGCTTCTAGTTTGTTATGGCTGTTCAAGCATCCGCGTACCGCAGTCCTTGCATGGGGGGCCTTGCAACCCAGCAGCAAAGGCAAGCGTCGGATCCGACATGGCAGGTATCTTGATGCAAGGCGGCCATCTATGCATACACGTTCCGGGCATCTTGTAAACGTCTATTCCAGGCTCTTACAGCATTCCGTGTTGCATTCGGGTATCAGCCTTGGCGATCCTGCAGCACGGAAGCACCTTGAAGACTTTAGCCGCTTGACTCGCCAATTTCGCCATGCTCCCTCAACGTCCGCGGAAGAGCATCATACAGCAGAGTAATCGATTCTGAGTCGTTTCGAAATAAGTATATGGCATGCGGCTGCCTGCAGTCGGTAGACTCGACTGCAGGTTCGAGGTTCCGGGATGGGTCGGCTGTGATTTTTGCACTGAGCTTTGAGAGCTTGCGCAATACCTAATGCTATGGCAGCGCGTAGACCGCCAGCAGACCCCGAGGTTGTTCTCTGACTCCGCTATAGAGGTGCACGACTACAATACCAGATCTGTTGTAAAACTTTTTCAAGCCTTACCGAAGCCTTCCCTTGCAGCTTAGACCAGATGCCTTGAGACCCTATGGTACGTCTTGCCACGGCCAGGCCAGCGGATGCTGCCCGAGGCTATGGTCTCCCACACATGGTGTCCAGGATTCTTTTCAGAGCCGGCTGTGTTTTCCTTGAGTTCTGCTGGCTCTCAGGTAGCACTGTAGGAGACACGGACCAGTATTATAGAGTTATAGTAAAGGATCAGTGCAGTAAAGGGGTTTCTGAGTTCTACATTAAAGCTTGGAAGTTCTGCCCCCAGTAGTGGTGGTGCTTTGTGATCAACGATTGAGATCCACACCAGACAGCAGCCTTGTTTCGCGCTCACCGCAGGCCTTCTTGTTAGACCCCTTGTTGACAAAGCATCAGCATCGACGAGTTTGTAGAAGGGTTGTTTCTTGCATTGAGCAGAGAGCTTCTGCCATGCTGGGGTTAGTGACAAGGCATGCGAACTCAATTTATCCACAAACTTGATTGGATAGCAGCTTCCCTACCAGCACACAGTATACACGGACCGCTGCATGATTCACATCTTTCGCCCGCTCTGCTCTCAAGCTATATAGTAAGCGCAGTTTTGACAGTAAGGCATTATGATTTTGTTCGGTCAAATGACCATGATATACATCGCGTACTTGTGGTTGGCAAGCATCACTCGCAATGTCAACTGTCTGTGAGGCAATGATCATAATAAGTTCCCAGGCCCATCTCCCACTGCAGCCAAATGTGAATGTTGGTGCATGGGTATGTAATGGCGACCACTCTTGTGATGAGAAGCTGCCTAAACGAATGGGAATAGAAGGACATCAGTGCATCGGACAGAGGGGGCTAGGGGGAAGCGTGTGAGGGGGACGCTAGCGGCACCGGAAGGAGGCCGCTTCGGATGCTGCACTTGCGGTTTAGCAGATTCTAGCCATCGTGGTCAGGCCCATCAAGACAGGATAGCTTTACAACGTGAAGCGCATTCAAAGACACAGGGCATGGTTCCTCGATTATAGTACCTACTATGTACTATTATAGTACTATTCGAGTACTATTATAATACTGCTACAAATACTATTGTAGTAATACTATTACAATATTCTTATAGTACTATATGGTAGTACTAATATAGTACAATAATAGTACCAATATAGTACTATTTTATAAGACCTTTCAAGTTCCCAAGCCGAGGCGAGGCCGCTTCCGGGACTTGGTCGCGGCAGTTGTGGCTGACGGCCTCGGGGAGTCTCCCGGACTTCGGCTTATGGCTTTAGGGTTCCTGGGCTTAGGGTTTAGGTTATGGTTTAGGGCTTAGGGCCTTAGGGTTTAGGTCAGGGTTTAGGGTTTAGGGTTTGGGGTTTAGGGTTTAGGGTTTAGGCTATGGCTTGAGTGCCTGGGTTTAGGGTTTAGGGACAAGGAGGCCTGTTGCACAAAAGGGCTTGCTACTTGTAACAGGCGAGTGGTCGGTTGGCAGATTGTGATTGCAACTGGAAGGGTGACAAAACGTGTTCGCTGGTGTTTGTCATTTATGACTCTCTCTCTCTCGCGCTCTCTCTCTCTCTCTCTTTCTCTCCCTTTGCGCTTAGCCTTCTCGCAGCCTTTTGCTGGTCGAGCTGGCTACGGCATGTTGGATTCCATCTAGTCCTTACCGGTTCCGTTGCTCACTGCTTGGCCCTGCGTCTGCCCACACGTTGATGCGCCTGTGATGGTTGATTATTTCCATGACCTCACCGGCACCCTGGGGGATGCCGCACAGGCTGCTACTCAGACTGACCCGAGGCAAGAGTATGGCCGCATTGGCAATCTTCTGGACTCCGATGTGGATCTGATAAAGCACTGGATCTCCAGGGGCTGTGGACTTCAACGTGCTTCCGGAGATGTGTGTTTACCTGTGATGTTTGGTTTTGTAGTGATTGTAGTGTCGTGGAACATCTCTTGCGTTGATGCTGCGTGCCTGGAGGGACGTATTGGATCTGCGCCTTCTGCGTGAATCAGCACAAGAGCATTTGCTCGCCGACGGTTCCGCAGACAGATTCCGTCACAGGCCCGGCCGGGCACCAAACGTTTTCAGCACGGTTCTGATGTGCACCGAGACTTAAGCGGCGCAATATAGGTTCACCAGAAAGCTACTGTAACGAATTATAGGTACCTTCTGCAGATACTCCCGTTTGCCACGCTTGTGCAACGCAAGGTGCGCTAGTTCCACCATGTGGCTGCGGGTGTCCGAAGTTCCTGAACACGGACGCACCGTGTAGAGAGGATGGTTCCAGCATCCAATGCGAAATGAAGCTCTGCCGTTTTTTAGTAATCTGTATGTGAAATTCTGGTGTGTAATATAAGTATACATATACATATACATATATAGTTCTTTATTTATTTATTTACGTACACGCATGGTGTTTACGTATGTGTGTGGATGTGATTGTGTTTGTGTGTTTTTGAATATATGTTTTTCTGTCGGTCGGTCGGTCGCTCGGTCGGTCTGTCTGTTTGCCTGTCTGTCTGTGTTGTGCGTCTGTGTGTGTGTGTGTCTCTGTGTATGTCTGTGTGTGTGTGTCTGTTTGTGTGTGTCTGTGTGTGTGTGTGTGTCTCTGTGTGTGCGTGTGTCTGTGTGTGTGTGTGTGTGTCTGTGTGTGTGTGTGTGTCTCTGTGTGTGTGTGTGTGTGTCTGTGTGTATGTCTGTGTGTGTGTGTGTGCGTGTCTGTGCGTGTCTCTGTGTGTGTGTTGTGTGTGTGTGTTGTGTGTTCGTGTGCTTGTGAGTTTGTGTGTTCGTGTGTTCGCATGTTCGCCTGTTTACGTGTTCGTGTTCATGTTTGTGTGTGTGCGAGATAGGGAGAGAGAGAGAGAGGAGTGTTTTTCGAGTCCACACAGCATGGGCATCGACGACTCGAATAGAATTGCCGAGGCCCCCTCACGCTCGCGCCAGCCCGCTCTAACATCTGCCACCCTGAAGACCGAGGCTGTGACAGTGGCCAAATGTCGCGTGAAATAAACTGACTGCTCTGCACAGGTCGAAAGCTTGTTGCCCGAGCCTGCTATGCTTCAGTAGAACGGACAGCAGGGCACCGCACCTAAGACGAAGTTGCGTCAGACAAAAACTCTAAAAAATGTGGGTATACCCCCCGCCCCACAAAGAGGTAGCCCACACTTCCAGCTAGGGAACTGCACTTGCACTTGCAGCTGCAGCGACCCTGCTTTCAGTGGAGCCAAATGGCTGCAGTCAGAGCACTGAGTAGGCTCAGTCCCTCGGCAATACGTCAGCGAACAAGCAAGATGCGGCCAAGAGTTTGCGAGCCAATTGGACAGAGCGCCTCCACGCCACTCGAATCCTTGAAGGTCACAAAACCAAAGCCTCGATGCCTGATACTGGAGATGTCCACTTCCGCAATCCCATAACGATATATCAGAGAGAAATGCCTCTGGGTTTGAGCATCCATCATGACCTCAGCGACCCAGGCTTGTCGTGGGCACATCAACCGTGCTCCGAGGGCTGGGCCACAGCGTCGTGGATCTCTCCATACTGACCAAAGTGAGATTTCAGCTTCTCCAGGTCGCAGGAGGCAGGTAGCCCGCCCTGGCATCAGTTTGATCAGACGAAATGCTGGGTGAGGATACAACCAAACACCCCGAGACACCACGAAAATCTTGACGACGTTGTACATGCTACCGCCAGACTCCTCGCGTCCCTGCAAGGAGGTTTGCAGAACATCAATCCGCTTTCCAGCTGGTACGGAGAGGATGGAGTGGTCGGGACGCACGGCAGCTTCGGGCTTTTGCTCGCTCCGCATGACCGAAGCAAATAAAGAGCTCTCATCTCCCCCGTGAAAGACAAAATCGTTGCTGTCCTGCTTCCCGCCCTGCTTGGTGTCACGCACAGCCTGACACAGCCAACATCATAATCTTCGCTAAGCCGAACTCAGAGACACTCCCGCTGAGGAGTCGACGCGCTTGCATGTAATCGTCTTACCGTCAACCGAATGGTTGGCACCTTAGGTCGCGAGGCCTCCACGAATCTGCCCTGCCAGAGACGGACGAAAAGCTTAGGTCGAGTGCGAAGAGCGGCTTCCATGGCTGCGCCGGTGGTGAATGTAACGAAGCCGAAGCCCCTCGACTGCCCACTGCCCTGCGTCAGCAAAGCTACGCACAGCCAAGCCCCACAATGCTACCAACATGCTATCAACATGCTTTCTACTGTGGGCGGCCTTGGTATATGGCCACCAAGTGAACAGCAGAACTGCAAAAGATTTCAACAGGCAACATGCCTGCGGCCTGGGGGAAACCGCAAAGACGAAGCGACCCAAATCTTTGAGAATCGGCACACAGCAACCGCGGCCCTGTTTGTCTTCAACTCCAGAAGCAAAAAGAAGGGCAATGTGCGTGCATAGACAGGAGGCCACACGAATAGTTGCAAGACCGACGAGGGAAAGACGTGCAGGGGTAGTGGCGATGTTTTCCGGCATGTGACATTGTCTCTGGGTTCGTCCGATAGTAGACAATGCTAGGGCCAAGCACATGACAGTCTGAGTGGCCTTGTCCAGCATGACAACACACTCAGCGATCTCGCCATAGTGTCCGAAGTGATCCCTGCAGCCAAGGAACTTGTGCAGATGTCCCTATTCGGCCAAGCCCTAACACAAGTCGCTCTCTCCATCGGGAGTTTGGCCCTGGTTTAACGACTACAGGAGCTCGTGAGCACCAAAGCATCTTGAAGTGCAACGGCTTGTCCGTGCTGCCACCGTTCCAAATTGCATTCAACTAGGGGTGCAACCGCTCATAGTCTGTACCGCACAAGGAGGAGCAGAGAAAGCTTTGATCCTGCTTGGCCGACCCTCTTTGCGACATGCCAGGTACAAAGCGCAAAATCGCGTGTTCCGCGCACCTTTCAGCGGCACGTGTGGACATCCTGTGGAAACCCGCTACAATCAACAAAGACAGCCCATAGAAGGCTCTTCACCTGAACTAGTAGCCAAGCGCCATGACACTGTCAAACCCCTGGCGCAAACACGTCGTTCCTTCCCGTTTTCGTCTCAGTCAACGGCTAGCACTTTTTGAAGCTGTTAGAGCCCGGAACTGGCTCGCCAGGGGTTTGGCATCTCGCCTGGATCTCTACTCTACGCCGCTACGCATGTGCTAAGCTGCGAAGCCAAGGACATCTAAACTCCTCTTGCTACGCAGTGCTAACTATCAGAAGCCGCAGCCTCCAACCTGCTCTGGCTCTGTGCTCTGACAATCCAAGGACAAGGAGAAATCGATTTTTGCATTGGACCTTTTTGGACACGTCCCCCATGCAGCCCTGGAGACCGAGGCTCGCACTCTAAGCTGTCCTTGGTGGTGGCATGCGCCAGGTTGCCGACATACACCTCACTAGGCATGATGCGGCCCTTGCCGATGCCACCAGCCCCAGCATGCACACCTTTGTGTCAGAACCGGCCATGGACCACGGCTATGCTGAGCAAGAGTGTTCTGTAGAGCATGTCTTGCTTCCCGTCTGAAGGCTTCCTATCTACTTACTCAGGCGTCGTATCGCACTTTGAGTGGATGCTCGGGGGGCACTTGCAAACTCAGGAGCTTCATGAGTGGATGCATGGAGAGGAGCCAGAATGCTGAAATGGGAAGCTATGGGAAGCAAGTGAATGGCTTCAGGCCCATGCAACAAAATGATTCTTCACATGTGGCTTTGGCAACTTGCGGGATCTTTTGAAGGCCGGCTTCAGCTTCTAGCTTGGTTGCGAGTTCCGCGAAGCCGTTCCGTCTCGCATACTCAGCAGCTGTCTTGCCCTGCCCGACATGTGCTGGATGAATCGGGAATACGAGAGGCCGAGAATGTTTGCACATGTGCCTCGTTGTCCACCTCCGACACTTCTGCTCCTGCTTCGAGTAAGACTTGGCAGCAGTGCTCACGACCGGCGGCAGCGGCTTCCATCAGCGGTGTTCGACCGGTGGGATCAACCTGCGAGGGCCGAGCACAGGCAGGATTATGCGGGTCACTTCCTGTCGCCTGCCGCACATCAGCACGGAAGACCAGGAGCTGGTTCAGGACTTCTAGACCTTCCGAAGGAGGGAGGGCACAGCAAGGCGCACAGTACCACATGAGGGCGCACTTGTCGAGGAAGCGCTGGCCAAGGCCAGCACGCTGCAACCCTTGCTGGCCTGTCGCATCCGACGAATGCGGCCACTTCAGGCTCCCAGGCGCGTCTTCGACAACTTGGAAATGCCGTTAACTTCTCGTCGCTCAGAACGACTTAGCTTCTCGAGAGTCTCTCTCTTTTGGCGGCTGCCTTGCTCGCACTAAGGTCATATCGATTAAGCCCGACAGGGAACAATACACGGCCAAGAGCAGAAGCAAGACAAAAATCCGGCTGCAAGGCAGTGCAAAACAACACATGGGAGTGCACTTTGCTTTGCCTCTTTAGGATCCGCAGCTGCCTGCAGAAGGATCTTCGTGCAGCCTGCACCTGACTTTCCACGCAAGACAGCACGATTCAGAGGCCAGGGATCATGCCCATATCATGGACCAAGCACAGAGGATGGACTTTAGATCTGCGACTGGACCAGCAGACATGTTTTACTACTTCGCCATGCATCTCTACACCTGAGGGGCCTGAAGGGCTGTTGCACCTTGCAGCAATTCTGAAGCTTCGCGCTGCCAGGCTGAAGTCTGTTAGACATACTGAGGCAAAGAACATCCTCGCATGCACGCTGCAGACAAAGCTGTCAGCTGCGCGCCGCTGCGGTGATGAACATCTGCCTTCAATGGCCAGGTTCTTCAGCGCCAGGCATTCCGGATTTTCTGTCCTGCCGCTCCAGGAGCTCGCTAGCCACATCACACCAGCCATTTCCTCAGCTCTGACCCGACCCGGTGGAGATGCAGTTGGCACAAGCTCCCGAATAAATTTTCACCGAAACACTGCATGCCAGAGTCAGGAGTGACTGGCCACCAGCACCTATCGAAACAGGTTGCTCGCAGCCCGCTGGAATCACGCAGGTGCAGGCCTTGCTCGTCATGGCATGCATTCCTCAACTAGCAGCTCAGGCCCGCAAGCTTCAAAATCAAGAGCCAAGCATGACAAGGCATAGCAAGGTTTGACAATGGCCAGCTTGCAGCTCAGAGGCAGTTCTTTGTGGTAGCAAAGCCAGAGCAATGACCGATACTGTCGTTCGGCTTCCGAAGGTCTTCCGGCTGCCGCTACCAAAACTTCCACCTGCAAAAGACACAACGGCAAGGAATTCTGGAGCCCCTCGAAAACAGCAGCGATCCTGCATTCGCGAGTCCCTAATCCCTAGACGTCTACAGCCTGCAGCCTGCCTCTGCGGCTTTTCCGGCCTCTTTCAAGTCAAGCAGGAGCCTGCCACAGATTCCATCAAAAGTGCTAGCAGATACACCCGCGCCCGTGAACCAGACCAGTCTCTCGGCTCAAGACTGGCGGTTCGTGCAGTTCGTGCGCCTTCTGTCCAGCCTTGGGCTGACTTCCGGTGGATTCTGCAATTCCCACACCAATCGCCTGGTCTGCAAGTCACTTTCAATGCTGACTAACTCCAGACTGCAGGTAACAATCGAAGCTTCGAGTGACTGTTCTGGTGTCAACGTCGAGAGGAAGGCAGCGAGCTGGCCGTCCCCAATAGTGCCGAACTGAGCTTCAAAGCTGGCCTGTTCTCAGACACAGCCCCCGCAAGACAGACCGCCAATGTTCACTCCTGGGATTTTGCGTAAGCCTGATTCCACTGGTCTTTGGCCGCGGTCGAAAGCTCTGCGAGAGCTGCGGTGAGCCGGTGCGTGAGTTCGTCGCTTGCCTCCTGTGGACGTCAAAACACATGCATCATTTCTGTCTTGCAGAAGAGGCGCTTTTGGGAGCCGTTTAAGTCCGTATGTGCACTAGCCGATTGTGCAAACCTCTGCCACGAAGCAATTTCAAAAACTAGGAAACTCTACGATGTAGCACAATCCCAGCACGTAGCAGCACCTGAAATTTTGTTGCACGCCTCTGCGGTCCTGCGCTGGCTTGGAGTCTGCACTTGAAGCTTCCGTCAGCTCTGCTCCTGTCTGCAATCAGAAGCCATCACCAATGCTATCTGCTCTGAAGCTTTCCATGCAACAGTCCGTAGGCTTCGGAGAACGTTTTCGTGCTCATCTTCAGGTGTATGTGTGTGTGTGTGTGCGTGTACAAATACATTTCTATACACACATATACATACTTATGTATATGTACATATATGTATTACCGTATTACCCCCCAACGTACCCCAATTCTGGCTTTCCAAAGCACACACCACAACTGCAGGCAAGATAGCCATAGATTTGGCACGTATTAATAGTAGCATGTTACTATAGCATTTTTATTTAGTACTAGTATCAATTTTTAAGATTAATGTTCCCATTCCAGAGCAGACGAACACTCGCTCGAGCGAGCTTGCGATCGGCCTCACATATTCCGGCTCTCGCATTGACGAGCCTTCTTGAAGACCCTCGGCTCGATCGGCCTCGGCGGGCAAGAAATAGCGAGCATCCTCCACTGCTCGAGGGAGACTCGGAGAGCTCTGTTGAGCGAGAAGCCGCCGGCCGGGGCCACTGTCTCTCCGAAAGAGCACGCAAAAAGGCTGGGTTTCTTTGCCCCAGAGCTGAGAGCCGCTGAACATGAGCTTGCCCTTCAGCTTACCAGCCGGAGCGAGAATGTCTCCAGGACGGAGTCGATCTGTTCAATCAGCTCCTCCTTCCTCTTGGCTTGTGTCCGGAGAACCGAGTTGCCCAGATCGTACGTCACCCCGAGAACGCCAGTTGCCTTAGCCCCGGCGCACCGATGAGTTTCACCACAGTCTTGCTCAGTCAGACGGCAACTCCCCAGGTTAAAGTTCACGCACAGCTTCTTCCCGTCCTTGAGCGTAGCGGCGCGGTACGCACATTCGACCGATCACCTCGAACATCACCGGCTGACGGGTAACTGCGGGCCGGCGTCGCAGGGGACTCTTGGTATGGGCCGCCTCCAAGGCTCTTTCGGCATACGCTCCTCCTTGGGGTCCGCGCCGCTGCTGTATTGTCTTCTTCACCCTGGTCACCTCCAGGGGAAGGGTCGACATCGAGGCGGGCGAGCGGCTTCTAAAACCGGGTCCCGTCCAGGTCTTCTCCTGCTCGGCTTTGACTGGGATATTGCAAAAGCTTTGCGCCACATCGTCGACCTCGGAGACATCAGCAGGCAACACCGCATGCCAACTGAGAAAAGCCTTTTATAAGCTCGCCCATGTACGCCCAAATAAGGTGTTTGATCAGATCCGTACTGACTGCTTGTAGCGCAGCCCACTGTAGTGGATGGGCATTGCCGCCCGGGTCTTGCCAGTCGGATAGCGCCGCCAATTCGACCGGCTGCAGTTGGACAAGCATGCCCAGCGAGGGGCCCAGTCTTTTCGAGGAGCAGGAAGTCAATTCTTCGGCGTTGTTCACCACGCTGCCCAGAGCACTCTTGGCTGCCAGGATCGACTCTTTGAGAGACCACGGAAAATCATGGTTGTCGAAACACAATCCACAGGCAGACTCCTTTCAAACAGAAGCCTGCAAGGGCCTGTCCAGTCCCAACCGGAAGTGAACGCCGAAGGGACAGCGAAGTAGAAGCCTTGCCTGTTGTGCTTCTGTTTCCCTTGGCGGCAAAAGCAGTGCACGGTCGACCCCGTGATCCAAAGGACATCGCTCCGCTTCAAGTGGGCCGCAGAGCTGCGCTCTCCGCTGAGGAGGATGGCTGCTCCGGCTCCGCCTGCGCTTGCAGCCTCCAACGCCTGCTGCGCATAGACCCCCGCCATGGCTGCTGCTAGCATGGGACTGAGCCGAGAACCGGCCACATCATGTGCACGATTTCTCGGAGCATCTGCAGGAAGAGCGGACGAGAGAGAAGGGGAGTCCACGTCCCTCGTTGCACCTGCTGCAGCCCAAGTCTGTACAGGGGACCATCTTGCAAGGCGGCAGTCCTGGTGGCAAGGGGCTGATGACATCAACCGGAGGCGGTGGGTAGTGGACCACCTCGACCACAGACCCCCACACAAGTGCGGCCTCATAAAGCTCACTTGCCTCAACCAACTCGCGGATCCGGTTCCTTGCCTCCAGCAATACCGCGGGATGAAGCACCTGTGCATTAGCGTGCACAGCCAGGCGGGTGAACACCCACTGTATAACAACAGGTGACTCCTGTGACATGGGAACTCCCCAAGAACGAGGGTCAACTCTGCCAAGGCTCGAACCAAAATAGGCAGGACGGACGATCACAAATGAAACATGTGCACCCAAGCCTGCCAAACTCTACGCATGCATAGTTACTTCTACTACTGCTACTACTACTACTACTACTACTACTACTACTACTACCACTCCTACTCGCATTATTACTCTTCGTACTCCTCTTCCTCGTACAGTTGCTCTTGCTATTACTCTTGCTCTTACTCTCGCTCCTGCTCTTGCTCTTACCATTGCTCTTCCTCTTGCTCTTACTCTTACTCTTTCTTCCTCTTTCTCTTCCTCTTCGTCTTCCTCTTGCTGTTGCTATTGCTACTGCTATTGCTGGTAGAATGCCTACTCATAGTGCCAGTAAAAGTATGCATGTTGGTATTAGTCTCAGTATTAGTATTCTACTGATATACGTGTAGTATTGCTGCAAGGATATGATTACCGGTAGAAGTAATAGTTGTAGTATGAGTGCTCGTATCATTTTTAGTAGTAGTAAGAGAATGCACATCAGAATCACTGTTACTCTTAGTCTCAGTCTTACTATCAGTATCAGTACTACGTGTAGTATTGCTACAATTACTATCACGATCAGCATTGTTTCGAGTTGTCATATGATATATGTACAGAGATTGCCTTGAGTCTTCAGCCGCGACCGCTCCTCTGACCTCTGCGGCAGTTCGAGGCCCTGAACCACTTCCAGAGCGAAGCGCCTCCAACGTCTTTTCCAACTCTCTAACCTGAAGGGCTTGTGCCGCGGCACAAAGGCTGCCATGATTTTGCCGTCACGACCTTCTTCTTCAAGCTTGTTCATGGAATGCAAGGACTCTGCAGGCAAGGCTCGACATGATTTTTGAAGCGGATGTCTTCGTCCAAGCTGGAGATCCGATCCAACACATCCGCCTTCTCCTGGCTCTGCTTCAGAATGCCACAGGTTGCAAAGGTACTGCTACAGAACTCATGGTCTCCTTGGTCAGTTGGCTTTGTAGTTGGACCAGGCTGGCCAATGAAGCTGCCATGGGTTTTCAAGCTGCGGTCATGGTTTCGTATCAGGAATGGCCGCTGCCGACGAGGATTCCGGACCGGAATGCTAGGACCCAATCAATGCAGGAACCCATGACATGAGCCCCAAGCCTCGGAAACAAGAAGTGTATGACCGGAGAGATGCAGGGAATTTACATTGTGGCTACTCTCAACTGCTGACCACAATCAGACACGCGCGAGCCTTTGCAGAGTTGGTTCTACTCTCTGAACTCCTACAAGATCTGCAAAGGAATAGCAACTCATTTCTTGCTCAGAGTGGTCGCCTTCGTACAGATCTTTGCTGCGTCGGTATTTCGACTTGAAGGTCTTCGGTGCTCGTGTATCTCGGCCCTGGGTGCCATGTGCTCGGCCAGGCTCTTGGCGACTTGTGACTGACTGAAGAGCCCCTGCCTTCGAGACATCTTTGGCCTGCAAAGGGCCACCGGCTTTGTGGCCTTGCGATGTGCATATTCTCCAAGTAGAATCGGACGCAGACCCAAAACAAGAAGCTCGCCCGCAGACATTTCGGGAAGCCAGACTCAGACCCAGGCAAAGCTGCTGCTTTGGCAGCTTGTTGGGGACTGCACGGATACATATCACCTCGAAATCTGCCAGCAAGTAGACTGATTGCGGGAGCCGGAAAAGGCATGGCACAGACGCCTTGTCATGGCAAAGTTATGCAAAGCTTACATCGATCAGGCCGGCAGACATTTCCAGAGGCCAGAAGCCCATATGCCATCAACTACCCTGCTGCCAGTCCACCTACCTCCGCCACCTCACCTCGCTTCGGGCTTCGGGTGATGTAAACCAGGAACCTGTACTCGGCGGAGCATGACAGGCATTTTGAAGAAAAAGTCAGAGATACTTTTCTCGTACTGGTAGCTCCTGAGAACCCAACACAAGCTTGAGACTTGGATCCGAGCTCATAACGAGAGGGATCAATTCGCGAATCTCTTTCAGGTCATGTCCCCCCACAGCCATCAACTCACTTTTGCAGGAACGGTGCCCCTCTACGCGAACACCGCATGCCTGTCTTGGGGATATTTTGGGATGTACTGCGTCATGTTCGCCATCGGACCATCAACAACATCGACCTGTGAGTGGTTCCGGATTGTCAGACAGACGCAAACATAAACGTAACCCTTGGAATTCCACAGCAAGCAGTGGATGTGCATGATCCGAGTCCCAGTGTCTCAGCGACTGAGGTACGAGCCTTGGTGTAAGTGTCCGCTTTGGGATTGCAGCCGGCACTTCGTCCTCGCGCAGGCCCAGACAACAGGCGCTCGGGAGCTTCTCCATGCTTCTCCGTGCAAAGAGACAGATGGCATCCGAGGCCAGCACCGCTCGTGCTCGACAGCTTCCTAACAGGGACAGGCGAGTCTTCCGCCCGCTTCAGCCCGCTGTTCGTCTCTGCAAGAAGCAGTGCACTGCAGTCCTGTCGATAAATCTGCAGTAATTGTAATTTCTCACGCTCGAAATCACCTGTCCAGGTTGGCTTGGCATCGGAGGAAAACAGTATCCAGCCCAGCTCGTTCAACGTGGGCTGTACTGGGTACACGGCCCAAAGCACTGAACTCGCGGGCATGAAGCTCTCTGAGGAACTGCAAATGCCTTTCGTGCTTCGAGGATATCGACAGAGGATGTCAATGTGTTGATCCTGTCGAAATCTGCCTCTCTGCATCCCGGAGCTCTTCTGATGCGCGAGCACACCTGGAAGCAACTCAGAAGGGTCACCGCGACAGCTTCATCGGCACCAGGCTAGCAAATCTGTGGCCTTGCATGCAAGCCTGCTCGGGCCATTTTGGCATTGGCTTCTGTCTTGCGAGCCTCGTTATCGCAACACAGTGCGTGCATCGACAAGATGAAGTTGGGCACAGCCTCTTCGCTGGCAAGCTCCAGCTGGCTTCTCAAGTCATGCGCCTCTCTCCACCATCTACCGCACACGCTTTCCCAAGCCGCGTTGCTTGACGATGCCTCGCGCAGTCGCTCTGCGCTGTGCTGAACTTGATGAATGCGGTTCACCTGAGTGTAATTCATGTTGTGAGCTGTCAAATGATGCCGAATCCAGAACCACGCAAACCACACTGGTGATATCCGCGGCGAAAAATATCAGGTGTTGTAGGGAAGCCTCTCGGTTTACTCCATTCCCTACGGGCGTTTCTGGGACCCGTTCTAGTGAACCCCTGTTCCGCTATTCCTTCCATCAATGCTTCCCCCCTATGTCTGCACATCTCCACAAGCAAATGTGGGTACTACTTCGGCTTCAGCGGTTCACTGTTTTGATTTCGCATGTCGCGGACTGTATGGAGCTGCATGTCAATGAATGACTTCTGGTTTTCTGCTCTGCACACTCAGCCCTCTATAAGGTGTTGGGGTATACTTGAGGTCTGAAGTGCAATGTCATGCAATATCCTCGACGTTCAGTACTTGGTGCGATTGCCATGAGCCAAGCGACTTTGTGCGGCTCCAGTATGGCTTGCCGCGCCAGCTGCTGCTGCTGAGTCTCTGACTCCTCGCCGTCACAGACTCAGTGTGCGGAGATTTGAAACCACTTTCACGCACACCCGAAATCTCCTGCAGAAGGCAGAAGATGTGCTCTACCTCTCCCTCGCTCTTCTCGAATTCTTGCCTGTCGTCAAAACAGACTGCTCGGGGGCCATTGCCTGACACTTAATGCTGAAGTCTATACTGACGCGGTTCTTGAACGACAGCTCCTTTTGAGGATGCTGCAGGCGCATGTGTCTTGTACCAAGGCTAGCAGGCTAGCAAACCGCACACACTTGCCTGGCGACTCTCAACTCTTCTTCAGCCGACTCCTCAAAGGACAGTTTGCTGCCAGTCGTCTCAACCGCACGAAACCGCAAGAGTGCCTCATCACTGCGCTGACTTCGAAGCCTTTGTAGACACGCCTTTCGAAAGCGATTGGCAGTCTCTAAAGATATGCGCGACTCAGGATGTTGACGACTGCCTGCTTGTTCATCTGCATGGTCTTGGCAAAAGCCTTCCACGGTTGCTGTCATCATTTGGTGTCGTAGTGTGAAGAAGCATTCCTGTGCCTCCGTCTGCCTCAGACTCTCAAGATCTCTGTGGTACTCAGGAAGCCTAACCAGCTTCTCTTGCGGTTGGCGACTGGGGATGCCGTAAAGTCAAGGAATTGAACAGCCGTCAGTCACCTCGCCATGTGCCACTCCCACCATTCGTTGGATCGCCTGGCATTGGCAAAGCCCGATCGAGCCGAATCCAGAGCACGGGAAGTCTGAGTTTCCGACCTTCTCTCCTCTACGAGCTGGAAGCACAAGGCCTTTCAGACGAAATGCTTGCCGCTTGCCACAGCTCTTTACCGCTCCGAGGAGTCCCTGATGTGCGATTGTTTCAAGCTACAGCTTACTTACTTCTGGATTGCTCTTGTCTTCCGCCATGCGTTTCAGATGCCGGTGCAGCAACAAGGACGAGCAGAACATGACCTGCAACCACTCCTCGCGTGCTACCAGCAAGAGCAGCCTACAGCAACTGTACACATCAATTGCACCGCTTCGCGGAACTGAGCTGAGAGCGTTCGTTTCGGCTTCTTCTGCTCGCAGCTCGCTACGAAACTGCAGGAGCCGGCGTTGTACCTTGTGAGACCCAATGCCGCCAATTCCAACAGGCAGTGTTCGGCGCCTGGGCCAATCTCTCCGCGCAAGCGGACTTCTGCAGAGCCATCTCTGATGATTCCGCGCAGGCATCCGCCAGTTCATCTGCAGTCACGAAGCCCTGCACAAGACTTTCGGCTTATTGAGCTTTGCTTTCCATTCCTGTACTTCCGGGCGTTGCCCCGTAACCTGAAGCGGCAAGTCCTTGGCACCTCTTCACTGGAAAGTCGCTTATGATCTTGCAGATGCCTGCTCTCTTCCAATCTTGCCGATGGAATTCTTCTGCTCAACCTCTTCCAGAGCAGATACTTTGAAACAGGCACAACCCTGACATGATCAAACATCCATCGATCGGCTGTGGGTAAGGTCTTCGATTGTTGTTGGATCTACGGTCGAAACTTACGCATGTCGATGTTTCTAGTCCGGATTCAGACGAACCGAAGTCCGGGGTTTGTAGCAGACTCTCCTCGTCACAAGTACCTATCCCTACGAGTAGTACCAAGAATGCTAAGACCTGATAAGGGTCGAACGTATCCGCCAGCATGGAGTTCCTGGTCCAGTCGCCTCGTGCAGTAAGACAAAGAGCAGAGACACGTAGAGTCGACGCAGAGACATACAGCAGCACATCGGGATGCTTGGCGTCCGGTCTCTCGCCAGCGCTCGAAGAGCCCCATCGACAAGCGCCTTTCATCCTGCCCGTCGTGTTTGGTGATGTCTTAAGACTGCCCCGGAACGGGCATCGTGAACCTCGGCAAGCTGAGCTTTGGCTGCACTGAGATTTTCCAGCAAGGCCTCAAAGCAAACTGCCGCAAACAGTGACTTGATGTCCAACTTTGAAGAGGCCTGGCCTGTGTCTCGAGCGAGGGTGGTTGGGAGGACAGGCGAGCCAGGCGCGCGCGGAAATCCTCAAGCCAGTCTCCTCAAGACTCTCGCTCAGAAAGGAAACCTGGCGCCTCGGTGCTTTGCTCCAGCTTCCTTTCTGCCTGCATCTCCTGCAGAGAAAGGAAAGAAGGCCCTTGGGCTTTGGTCCCGTGGGCTTCTTTTGGCTTCGGCCGCACCTCCTCGACTGCAGCTGCCATATCTTGCTGAGCTTTCCTTGCCAGCGGCTAAGCAGCAACGGGAAGGTTCTGCCGCAAAGGCTGCGGCTTCGCTATTGGGGCTCCCAGCTGAGACTGCTCCAAGCACTGTGCCAGAGCCTTCCTCAGTGCCTCGCGCTGGGCCTCCACAGATGGAGGAGTGCAGTGCAAGACTACACGCACCTTCTGTCATTGACTTGTGATCGTCACACAGGCTTGCCTTGATCGAGGCGCCGTGCACACATGCCATGGCGATGCAACATCTCACAGGCTTATCCAAGAACGCCACAATATCGCGACTTGATCATCTCTTACTACCACCCGCACAATAGATCGTTAGATGTCGGATGTGTTGCTGGTGGCATCGATAACTGTCAGTTCTCTGACCCCTTACAGAACGTCCACCGGAGGTGACGGAAGATGCAACCCATCTGCGGCTGTTCCAACAAGCGTTTGTAGGCTTACTTTTATCTCACGTTTCAACAATGCTATGCTCCCAAACTGCATCTCAATCACACCAGCTGGCAGGCAGTTTCGACCTTTCTATTATTCATTCCCTACCTCCGTCTCTCTTCCTCCCTCTTCCTCCCTTCCCAACGGTCGGAAATTGTTTGACAAGTGGATCTTGTTGGCTGGGGTCATTTGGGCATCTGGAAACTTGAGAACCAGACTCGAAATTGAGAGGGACAGGAGAGCCGCGGAACAGCAAAGAGTGCAAAGCGGATAGGGGGAAGAGAGGGAAAGAAGGGCGCACCTTTTTTCGTCCGAAGTCTGGCCACAAACCAGACACCACTGAAGCCTCGAGTTGGGTTTCGGTTGTTCTGTTTTCTGTCAGATCGGTGATTACCACGGTGCACGATTCCGTCAACTGGATTCCCTTGACAGTGCATGCCGGGCACACTTTTTGCTGCATGCAAGTGTCTCGCGTCCTTGCGGAGCCTTCGAATTTCCCAGATTACTGGCCACGCTTTGGTGGTGCATGTCATCTCAGGCCGATGCGCGACATGACACGTGCAGTTTTAAGCGGCGCCGCCTGCATGCATACGGGAGAGGCAGCCGTTAAAAGAAAGATTTGTCGCATGGCTTCCACATGTGGCGGCCTTCCTGCCTTCCTCCACTCCACACGTGCGGACACTACTGTCAGCCTGGCTGACGTTACTGTTGCACTCTCAATTCTGAGAGTGCCACAGGGAAAACTCGGCCCTTGACCCCTTCCTGGGGCCCCTACCTAGATTAGATTCGATCTTGTACTTGAAGCTCCGGTTTTTGGATGGGAAACGACGTGCCATACAATTATTGCGTATGTTTGTTTTGTTTGTTCCCGATCTGGCTCCAGCGATCTGCATGACCCTCATTCAGCGGGTCCTTTCCGACGAAATCTGCCTCGGCTCGCTGGCAGCGCCGAAGCAGCTCGGGGCTGTCCCTTGCATAGTGGCCGGCTGTTGCTCCGCTGCTGTGCTTTAACTCGTGCACCGTCTAAGCAGGAGTTGGCCAGAGGCCTTTGCACGGGACGCTTGTGCAAATCTGAATCTCATCACGGCACATATGTGCAGCTCATAACGCACGACCTGAACAAACAGAAGATGAAGACAAGCAGGAACAAAGACCTGGCAAGACAGGTGCACTCGGATTCGGGTCGTCAGATCAGATCTATTTCTGTGCTCCAATGAGGAAGTCGCTTAACCAGCCGGCTCGGCCCAAAGAAGACGACATGGTCAAATCTGACTATCTTGTTCCGCAGTTGGCACAATCCGTCGAAGCACCTGAACTCACGACTGAAAGCGTCGAAGAGCCCACAGCAGTGTTAAGAAATTGTGAGACAGGGAATATGACGCTTCCACGTGATCACAACATATGCGGCATCTGAGCACGAGGCTTCACACCCTTGTTGGTGGCAAACCCCAAGTCTCAGTGCAGATCGCAAGCCATGCTTTGTGGTTGCACCAATGACTGACTTTAACCCCTATTCGCTACGATCAGCCCCTGCAAAACCTTCCCTGTGAGCCTTCAAGTTATATCCGACTTCGGAAAGACCCAAAGGAAGACCTAATGTGGTTGAGCTCTGAGCACCCAGCCTTCCAAGACGAAAGAAAATGCCGTGGGCCGATCTTGCGGCGGACTATCACCTTGCACAAGTGTACAACCTGTGCTATGCCTCGCTGCAAAACTGAGGTTGGCACATGTAAGTTCCACCTCTTGGTCGAGGGGCCTCGGTGCGAGAACGCAGGTATTTCTTCTCTGCATGACTCTGTCCAGGAAGTGAGCCCTTGGCAGACAGATGTCAGAGCCCTGATCGAGACCAGTGCCCTTCGTCCTCACCTGTAAGACAACACGAAAAAGAGCGGACACCACGCTTTACAGGAAACCAGGCCTCGCAAGTGTGGCTAATCGACTGTAAGGCCTCCACCAAACATCTCACACTGTCTCACACATCTCCCATGTCTGTGGCAGCGTTCGCCCGCTTTCCGAGGCTGAGATGCCCACACAAGTAGGCATTGGAAAGGAGTGCGGCTGCCAACTGGCCCACAGGGTTTGCAGTGACTGCAGCTGTCTGCACGGAGTTTTGCAGAAACCGACCAGCTCTTGTACTTAGACCAACAGGCGAAGCAGAGCTGCGCACTCGATGTTGAGCACCTACTTGCAATCTCGCCTCTTCGCAATGGTCAGCAGTTCAAACTTCTCGTAGCAATTCTTGACCTTCCGCGGCGGTAGAATCGCCGTCAAGAGTAGATTTGCTCCTCTGTGCACTTTGAGCTCCGATCGTAGTATCTGAAAGCGCCGTAGCACACGACACCGCCGAGTACCAAAAAGCCTCGGTGCTTTTGCTCCAACGTATTTCTACGAGCATCCAAAGATGCTGAAAGCTTGCAATTAGTAACCCATTCTTGTTTCGTGTTCCGGGAGAATACAATCGTAGGCGACAGTTGAGGTAGAGGGATCAGGCGCGCTTCCCCCCTGCGTCCTGGAGCTCTGGTCAGTGTTGGGCTGATGAAACTGCAGAATATGCTGTCAAGGCACTGAGAATTGAGTAAATCGCGAAGAGCAAGCTCCTGGCACAGCTCAACACGGTGTACCCGAACATTCCAGTCCCAAGAAGCTTGAGCGATCTCGGTATGATCTTGGCGGTCTCCACACGAATTATCCAATTCCCAGCCGCCAAACCTCAAGACTGGGAGTATACAGCCACAACTCCGCAGCTTGCATCCTCTCTGCACACCCCTCCAGAGGAAATAGGTTGATGCAGGCGTAGAACTGAAGAAGATGAAGTAGACTTAGAACTGAAATAGGAAGATGGCAGCACAATGGAAGGGAAATCCCGTGAAGGCCGTCCTGCAACTGCTTAGCCAGTACAGCTCAGCTTCGTCGGGTTCCTGCCACAAGCCACTTTGCAAGCTTGTCTTCCTTAACGCCTGAGCCCTTCAACTGAAAGATCGGCGAATCGTCACTGCTCTGAAGGGCTCAAATGGACTTGACAAGCTTTCTTATGCACCCCATTCACAGCACTGCCTGCAGGTAGCTAAATCTCAACGGGCCTGGACACAGTTCCCATGGCCGTCCACCAGATGGTAGTCTTGCTTCATTCTGGTCTGCAAGATGAAAGGGCGGTGCACTAGCACATCTGCATTGGGGAGAATAGCCCCTTGACAAATGCTGGGCGGTGTCTTTTACTGCACCTAGAAAGGGTTCTTCGTCGCAGCACCACATGCAACATGAAGCCGTATCACAGCTGCTGCTTACGGAAGCAGGCGAGCCAGAGGGTGCTCGGCGAAGAACTCCCCAGTGGTCGGGTCCGGAACGTTGTCTGGCAAGCACACCCAAGCAATCTTGTATGTTCTTGTCAAGTGAAGTCTTGTCGAGTGCACGCAACAGGCAAGCGCACCCCACGTAGCAAGTCGGACCTCATTGCGAGTTTCTAAGCAGCCGCGCCGTTCTCAGAACGATCCGAGCATCAGGCTGAGAGACTCGAGTTCGCGTGAAAGTGGTCCAGGTGGCGCAAGTCCGCCGTCGGAGTGCCGAAAGTTATGCTCACCCTCGTCAATATGGCATTTAATGTTTGATCACAGCAGCAGCAAAGCTCGATCCTCTGTCCTATAGGTCCTATCTGAGCATGCTGCCACGGGGGTGTTTCCGCCTGGCATCCGAACGAGTTCAAGACCAAATCTTATAGCGGTTCAGCCGGCCTCCAAGTTGCGGTCATGCAGAGTCAATGCCAGACGCTTCGTGTTGAACGAATCACCCTCGGAAAGGACGCAAACAGCACCGGCAAGTGCGAAGTCTCGCACAGGCATGCAACTGTCACAGGTGCTTCTAGTCAGAGCAATCGCTTGGCTGTGCTGATGGCAACATCCCAGATCGCGGCGCTCTTAAGTGCCCCGTCGTTGCGCAGGCTTGTAAGCAGGAGCTCCCAGTACCCCTTGCGACAGTTCCAAGCGGCCTGTTGAGCCCACTTCGCCACGGTCGTTGGGCTGAGACGAACCTGGAAGGACACGGCCACGCTCCGGACACGTATGACACGTGACGCTCTGCACCCTCGAGCACTTTCGTAAGGAACCTCTGCAACTTTGTGGATGCCGACGAAGTTGATTTGATTGACGGTTATCACGACCTCACTTGCAAGCACTGGTACAGCCTTCTATACTTGGAAGGGGCAAACTCCAACCATCTTGCACATCTAACACGTCTTTGTCAATCCCCGATGCTTTCTTGCAACATGAATATGAAGGGGGGGTGGGGCGGGTAAGGAATAGGTTGGCCACCTATTTCCGGGTCCGAGGAGTGCTGGGGGACAGATTCCTTTTTCCCTCGAGGCTTAGACAGAACCTATCCAGGGGACAAGGTCAAGAACGGTCTCTTCCCCAGCAAGTTTACCCATGGGGCGGTAACTTGGTCTGGGGCCGGGGTGTGGCAGGCCACTTCCTTTTACCGGTAGAGTCGTCAATGAGTGGAAGGAAGCAGGGAAGGGGCAACACCCTACGGTCTGTTTGGCCCCTGATACACCACCAATAGGATCAATAGAATCGAATAGACTTCGACCCTAGTTCAGATACCCAAGTATGACTCCCGTGCAGTTATGGAATACAGTAATACCATGTAATACCTGTAGTCGTAGATGAGTGGAAGGACGGTGGGACCCCTACGGTCTTTGGCCCGTGCTATACAACTTCCAGAATCCCGCCCCAGCATCCACTTACTATCTGCGTAAGACCACTGCAGTGAAAAACAGAGAGCATAGAGAACCCATGCTAAGCAAACAACCAACTCAACTAATACCGCGTGGTTTCAGCAAACGACGCAGCCTCCTCTGAGACAGATCAAAGCAGGGGTGCTGGCTGGCGAGTCCCACATGGTATCGCGGATGCGCAAGGTCAAGACCTGGTGACAACTCTGAGCATGTCAATGTAATGTCTGTCCGACGACAACTGTCAAAATACAACACCTAAATTTGCTGCATCGTTGTGATAGGGGTCCAAAGTAATTGCCCACGATAAACGTGGGTGTAACAGATCCTCCTCTAGACTCTAGCAAAAGGCTACCATCCAGCTTTGCAAACCGCCGTCTCCTTCCACGACAGACATCTGTTTCTACGAGCGCAACGAATTGACTTTGGTCAGCAACGGCTGCTTCCGGAATGCCAGCACCAGTTCACAAGCCTCCGGAAAGTGAATCGTTTTGGGATCTTGGTCCTGGTAAGATTCCACCACACTTGGCACCGCATCGTGAAGGAAAAAGCTTCCCATTCCCGATGCCATGCGAAGCCATCGCCAGGTCCTCTTGCACAGACGTTTGCAAACTCCTCAGCTGATTGGCGCACAGGCAAAAATTAAGCCAGCCTCATGCAAACGCAAGGAGCAAGCTGGGCAGGACACGGATACTTGCCACACGCGACTGTCACGGAAAAGGCACCATACCTCTCTGACTGGAAAGCAGCAGCCAAGAGCTGGTCGAGCTGGACCCAGAAAATTGTTACACTCTCTCCCCCAGAGCCTGTAGAAAGGAATATCTCCAACCACGATGTTGCTCAGCTCGACGGACATAGACCTGAGAGCTTCCGATTTCATGGGTTCTACACGAAACGACGAAAAGGACCCGGCGTCACCCCCACCCATTGTGCCATGGTCTGACAGACGACAGAACACAAAGCATCTCAGCAATCCAACACAAGCCAGCGTCGCCCGAACAGGATTGGAGCCACGCCACTTCCCGCAGCAGGGCCTGGGAAGCATCCGGCGCATGACACGCCAAGGTCTTGCCAAAGCAACAGCCTGTGCACTGCTTACAATGCTTACATGTGTGTGAGAGCCCCGCCAGGAAGTACACATAGTCACCCAATCATACTTGCAGAGGCCACAGCACTGCCACCTTACCCCGGTCAGCGGGGTTACGATTACGAAAAGCAAGCTGAGCAAGGGATGTACCTGGAATGTACCTCAACGTCGCTGAGCACAGGGCACACCGTACCAACAGCAGTCGGGAAGCGTGGCATGCAGCCTGGCTCAGTTTGATCCCCACACCCAACGCTACCCAGCACTCGAGTGATGGGTGCCGAAGCCGAAATTGGACTCGCCGGCAGGACGAGTCATCCCCCGTCAGAATAATGAGGACCGCCTTCCTTTACTCAGGAGCTACATGAAAAGGCTTGAAGGAGTTCTGAAGTCCCTTTCCTGTGGATACACAGGCACACCAGCAAGATCACGATGATAAGGCAGACCTGGCAACGAGGAGCTTGGATTGGGGAATCCTCTCAAGAGCTGGGGGAGCGCTAGCAGCTGCTGGACGACTTTGATGGGCGAGTACCCCTGCAGCTCCTCGAAGCTGAGCCTTTGGCAAAGGCCGTCCACTCACCTTCCCTCTGAGCCCTCACTGATGCGCTGAAGCGAAGCTGAGCGAAGAGCAGTCTTCGGCCGGTGTGTTCTTTTGGCTTCTCGCACAAGGCGAATTGGCCAAGCTGCTTCAGGTCAAGACCCTGTCGGACGTCAAGAATCTGAGACTCTCGACAGGCCAGCTTCGGGCTGAAGCGCTACAGACGCTGCAAGCCGTGACGCTGCAAAACTTGTCATACAAACATGGACTAAAGTTGCACAGCCCTCGGCCCCACCGGAGCCGTCGTGTCACCCTGCAGCATGGGCTCGGCTATGGGTGCTGGTGCAGACTGTGCGAGTTGGGATTGCATCGGCAACTCTGCTGGCACCACTGCTGGCGTGGCAGGCGCAGGTGCTGCTGGTGCTGCCGCCACAGGTGCGGGTGCTGGCGCTGTAGCAGGGGCTGCTGGGGCTGCCGGGGGTGCTGCCGGGGCTTCTGCTGGGGCTGCTGGTGCTTGGGCTGCTGGTGCTGGGGCTGATCCTGGTGTTGGCGCCGTAGCCTGGGGCGGTGCGGGTGCTGGCTGAGGCTTTGATGGTGCAGTCACCGATGCGCTGAAAGGATTTGGCACGGGAGCAGGTGTCGGTGCAGCAGTTGTGGGAACCTGCGGTCACAACATACCAGACCGTATCTGACAACTGTGGCATGTCGACGTCCTGGATCATCATGGCATCCGCCCTTGGAAGATAGAATAGCACCCCGGCACACAAAGAAAGACTCATGATGATTATCTAAGGCAGTCACAGCCAATCTGGAACAGTTCCAAGCACTGTCTTGTCCTTGCTTTTAAACCTGGCGAACCAGATGCAAGATGATGCAAGCATGTTTTTGCCTGCCAATGTGCAGCTATTCTGCTCTGATACGGATTTCTCGTTTGCTGCTCCTGAGCTGCAAACGGATTTGCGGAACCAGCTGCCGGAGCTGACGGCAGCGTGGGAAACCTGACACGCTGTTGGATTTGCACACATAGGAGCAGAGAGATGCAGAGAGTAGTTGATATCGAAGCAAAGGTACCCTCCCAGCATCTGTGCTCTCACCCTTGAAGGGCTGGATCCAAAAACCTGAGATTCTTCGTTGAAGGCTTGCAGCTTGAAGCCACGTTTTACGGGGCAAGTGAGCTCTCCGCTAGCAGACATAGCAGTGTCGGAGCTGCACTCCCGAAGCCTGGAGCTCCCGCAATTTCTAGACTCGAGACAGCACCTTACACAGCATGCCGATGAAACTAGAAAGACGGGAGTCCGGCCACTCAGCCGCATTGTGCGAAGTTCCACCTGACTGCTTGACCTGGCTGCACATGTTGCACAAGACTACTGGAAAGAGATCACCAGATGGTATGAAGTAGTGTACAGCCAGAACCCCATCCGAGAAACACTACTTGCAAGCCCCAGCTAAGAAAGCAAAAGTGAATCAGAGAAAGTTATGTTCCAAAAAGCATACGGCTGATTCGAATCCCAAGTACTTGTCAGGGGTTTGCTTACGGATTAGATGCTCGGGGTCTGAGAGTGTTCCTCGATGTTCTCAAACTTTCTGCGTGGATTGCCGAGTCAACCCAAGGTTCACTCAAAGGCAGAGCATGCCTCCCGATCCAGCCTCTCGATTCGGAGATCGTCTCAGCAGCGCAGGGGCCGTATGCTCGGTAAACATCCTGCAACAGAAGAAGCTTCAACATGCTTCCATACACAGCCGCATGCGAGATGCCTGACACATCTCAGCAAGAGATGCTGAGCCCCTGGCTACATGTGCAAATATACATCCCCCTGAGGACCCCACATGAGCCGAAATAAAAACAACAGATCATGTGTGATGTCTGGGCCACGCAGATGCCACTTCACCATAGGACCATAGTTCGTGATAGCAATCATAGAAAAAGAACAAATGCCGTCACGAGCGCTGTGTCACATGCTGCTCTACATGCATTGAATACAAGCTCGCATTAGCTGCTCGATGCTTAGGCTTAGATGCCGACGCAATGCTGACCTACAATGGACGGAAAAGGGGAAGACGAGAGCGAGTGCGAGAGAGAGAGAGAGACAGAGACAGGGACAGAGAGAAAGCAAAGGGACAGCGACAGGAGAGAGAGAGGGACAGAGACACACCGAGACGGAAAACGAGAAACACACACACACACACCTGCTTGCTCTTGATGCCAGCTCACGCTGCCGTGCGATGTGGTCAGGAACCTGCTTCAACTCCACGATAGAACCCGCATCTCAAAAACTGAAAGTCTCTGCGCTGGAGGCTCATGAAAAGCTGAATTGAACTGATTAGCTGAACATATATCCATCAGTATCTCGAAGCAACCGTCTCCAGTGCAGAGCCGCAGCCGTTACTGGAAGATCGCGTCTGGCGCTGTCCGAAGACATCCCTCACGCGGCATCCCCTTCTGTACCTTTAAGCTCTGTGTCTGAGCAAGAGTGCGTGCATATTTGTGTCGTGTGTTGTGTGTATGTGTGTGTGTGTATGTATGTATGTATGTATGTATGTATGTATGTATGTATGTATGTATGTATGTATGTATGTATGTCTGCATGTCTTGCTTCGTGTAGCAGCTGTGGGGCTTATTGAATCAATGGTACCCGGCCAGCTTTCATTCTGAATGCTCACTCTTCAGCACCCGCGGCGCTCAGGTACTCCTCAAACTCGTGGCTCCTCTCAGCCCTTGGATTGAGGCTCTGCCATGGAACGTTCAAGGTATACCGTGCTGGCAATTCTACGTGCCGAGGGTGACACGTCCACCTCTCTTCGGACTCGTTGCGAAATTTCGCCTGGGTGCCCCAGCTTTTACATCATGGTGGTGCTGCTCAGGACGTCTAGTGCTGCCGAACGACCAGCATGTAACCGGGCATGTCCATCGGGATTTCGCCCTTTTCTTTCTTGCGCATGATCTCATGCCACCAAGGCCACATGATATTCGGGTTCCTGAGTTGGATGCACGGCTCTTGGCCTGGTTCAACGGATTGCTGCAAGAGCCGAAGCGAGCTTGGCAGTGCCAAGGCTCTTGGAACGGTCAACGCCATACCTCGAAATGACTCCCATCGAGCACAAAACTGAATGCCAAACTGTCCACCGGTGTTGCAGCCGATTTTGGACTAAGTCTCGCACTGCTGATCAGCCAGGAAGCCGCCCAAGTTGACGCTGGCAATTATGCCCCAAATATACCGAGAGAACCTCGGAAAGTTCTTCACACTTGGCCTGGGTCCTAGGGCCCACGACAGACCAAAGGCTGCTCAGACGTGCACCAGTTGGGGTGAAAGAACCGCTGATGGCCTCCCATGACGGCTAGCCTTGCCTTGCAGTTGTAGTTGCAGACCAACAAATAACTGCCAGCAAGCATTCCGCGAGTTTTGTCGCTGGGTCTCACCGCTTTTTCGCTAGGCATGACCTGTTGCCCCACATTCCCTCATGGAGTGCAGCGTGCCTGCAGGATTCAGGCACAAGCACGGATAAAGAGGCAATGGGGCACGGCTGTGCTTGGGCAGCACAACTGCAAGGGAAGTCACTGCTGATGCGGTCGGCGACAGGGCCACAGAGCGTTAGCTGCAGAAGGACACAACAGAAGACCTGCAAAGACAAGAAGTCTGCGGTTCTGACACCCTTCTTTTCGACGAGCATCTCAAGTGGATTCCAGGTTCCGGCATCTCAGTCCACGAGACACCTTATCCTCTCACGTCACGAAGCCCGCGAGCCCCCCCGTCTGCACGAATCGTCCCAGTGGCACACGTCAACCGTCCACGAAGTTCAGGAGCTTTTTGCATTGGAGGTTCGCCTTCACTCAAAAGTTCCAGGATCACGATCTGCTTCTCGCTGACGAGCTTGAAGGGCGGGCGCTGTTGACGCGACCCGAGCTCGACTGCAGGTGCGACCTGGCCAGCTCTCTCGCACTGGGCCAATCGACTCGGCTCAGCGTCGGCCTCCAGCAGCGTCTCCTGGCCTTCACCTAGGACCTAGGAAGATCCCAACGGCAAAAGCACTGCAGGATGCCGTCACAAGTCCGCGGCTTTTCTGCGGCCAGCAGCTCGGTCCAGGTCAGGCCTTGGCCAGAAATCCGTAAACAAGGTACAGATGTGGTCCGCTCCACCCCGTCTCACAGCATTCTCAGAGCAAATTCAACTGGGGCTGTAAAATGCTGGGAGCAGGGCACTCGCTCAGCGTCTTGATGATCTCGACTTCAACCCTGGGAGGGTCCTGGAGAAGCTCAACTCACCGGACTTGCAGACTCCAGTCGAAGGTTTTGACCACTTGCACCGCTCAGCCCTTATCCCCTGTCCTCCACTACTTCCAGGTCAGATGCAGCACAACGATGGCCTCGGTGTGAGCATGGATGCAAATAGATCCTATAGATTGCAGACGACGTACCGTCAGTGGGCAAACCAAAATCCCCTGCTGAGAAAGTCACCCCAGCTTCCGAGGAAGTCCACCACGGCTGTTGCATTGCCATGCAGAGCAAACACCACACCTGTAGCCACAATGCAGTGGCAAGCGCGGAACCCATGCCACAACCGCCCGGCCTGTCGCACCCTTGAGCCCAGCACGGGGCATCCTGACCGAAAGAATTGCATCCGGTCCCACTGCTAGGGCTCAATTTTACCATATTGCACCAGGCCCCGCCCAAGCCTCAGCCGAACGGCGACACCTGGACGGATGAGATCGGACTCCTGTGGGAGCACTGAGATGGTCCAAGAAGGCGAGGCCCAGGAAGTCCTTATCCAGCTCCAGCTCCGAAAGCTTGCTGGCAGCAAACATAACGTCTTGAAATCCTCCAGCTTCCTGAGTACGACCACAGCTGGGCAAGCCACCGCAGACACTAAATTGCCGCCCAAAGCTCATCTGGAAATCGCACACAAACACTGCTTGCGCTTCCAGAGCTGTCCTGTACACAAGGTGGAGAAAGGTTGTCTGATGGAGCCATGCCACTACACTAGTATGCATGCCTCCACCTGGAGCACGGTGCCCAAAGGTCCTCGGAACGCGACCGCGAAGTCTGGCTGGGTGTCGGGCGCAGAAGCAAAGTTCGTTTCAACAAAAAGGTTAGGATGGTGTTGCCTGAACCGTGCAGCTCCTCATGTCTTGTTGGATTACTGAGGCCGCTCGCCCATGCTGCCTTGCAGCAGCACGGGAAGTGAGCCTACGCCTATGCTTTGTCCATCTATTCGGAAAAAGCAACCTGCATGCCCCCAACTCAATGGCTAGTTCTTGGTTTGACCGCGACTGCGACACATTGCACAATGCCGCCCGCTTTGTACAGCAAAGCTTCTTCTGGCGCGAACATCTTCATGCTCGACCCTACATATGATTCCGTGTCGCGTGTCGGTACCCCCCCACCCATGGTATCCCCCCATGGTATACACCCGAAATCCTGGTGAGGGTCTTCACTTTGTCTCAAAAGTGCCGACAGTCACAGGGATGGGCCCCCGAACCCGGCATACTCGTGAGTGCTGTGACTTTTCGTGGCGTGTCCAAACTGGCGACACTCACCTGGATGGGCCATGGTTTCGGTCTGCGCCACGCCCAGCTTCTGACCCTCAACCCTAAACCCTAAACCTTTGTCCGAGTATTCCGAGTGTGAGTGTCAAAAGACCCTTTCATATCTGTACACCTAAACCCTAAACAACCCCACCACCCACACCAGGGGGGGTGCGGGTGCAAACCCTAAACCCTAAACCCAACACCCACCACCACACCATCACCACGGGGGGTTAAACACTCAACCTGAAAGCCACAACCCGGCCATCACACAACACCACACCACACCACACCCTTTCTCACCACGCCACACCACAGGGGGGGAGAGAGCGGGGTTAAATAACCAAAAACCCACCACCACACCACAGGGACGAGCCGGGTTAACTGAAACCCACAACCCACCACCACACATCACCACACCACACCACACCACACTATAGGGGGGGAGAAGGGGGGATACCGGGGACCATATATCTGGGAATTTGCTCGCCCGTCCCTTGAGTTCCACCCTCGCACCCTGGAAAGGCAAGCCGGACGCCGAGGCTTGAGACCACTATTCGAGTCGGGTCGGAACGGACGGCACAGCCGTCAGCTCCAATAATGCGCAAGTGCAAACAGTTCACTGCAGGCACACGAAATCCATGTTTGAAAACATTCAGCCTGAAGCCGTAAGAGGGCCTTCACACAGTACTGCAGCGAAAGCGGCTGCTTGTGCAGTCTGCTTCTTGGCTGGGTTGTGCACGCCTTGGGCACGCACGTGACACACACACACACACGCGGCGCCCATCACACTGATAATCATGGATGCCAACGCCTCTAGACGGTCACCATGATTCAAGGCTGAAAAGAAGCAGCGGCTTGAGCCGAGCCACACCAGGTCACCGACGCTCAGTCCTGAAGCGAAGCCTACTGCAATCAAACTGCACTGCGCTGCACTGCAGTGTTGCGTTCTCTGGCATTTGAATTCAGGACCAGGCCGGGATCTGTGCCCAAACGGCTCTGCAAGCTCGCTATGGGGACAGGGAAGCACCGGCCATCGGCTCGTAGGACGTCAACGGAGTGCATTTGCGCACCGAAGGAGCTCTCGCTTCTCCTTTGAGGCCCAGGGCCTCGGCCAAAGGAGTGAAAAGTTGGTCCAAGGTGCCGAGGAAGCTTAGGCCAGGGCTATGGTGGTTGTTCCGGCTCCCGTGCAAGTCCATTTTTGGATCCAGTGGAGGCCCGCAAACCACACCAGCCTTGGGAATTCCTGGCAGAAGGTGATTTTCACGGTCTTCAACTAAGTAGCAGCTGCTTTTTGTAATGCCAGCATCGTCCTCCGTCCAAGTACCAAACCTTGGAGCCTGGACGTGCCAGCAACCCCGCGTTGGACACCTGCACGTCCCTCATCGCCACGAACTCAGGCAGTGCTTCGCCGCCTGACTCGTGCTGGCTATAGGGGTATTCAACGCAGCACGCCCACCAGGGATTCTGCACCTGGAAGCACCAGGACTTCGCCGTCCTCCACAGCCCGGGCCACTGCCAGACCCGAGGCGAAGGCAAGCAAACGACCCGGCAGCACGGAGTCGCCTCGGCACAGACAGACTCCGCCCCGCTCTCTACTCGAGTCCCGCCATGGCACGGAGCCGTACCAGCAAGGCCTCGCAGAGCCGCACACAGCGCAGAATGCGGATGGCAGAAGGATGGCTCCGGCCCGGCCCTGCCGGCCCTGCTTTGACCTCTGGCCTCCGCCTCCTCGGCCGCCTTCTTCGCAGCACGCACGGCGGCCTCGGCATCCTCCAGCTGCCGCCAGAGCCTCGCCACCTCCTTAAGAGAAATCAAAAGAAGGCTCACCGACATATCGAGGACGGACACCCGCTCCTCGGCCAGAGGACCGTAAGCACCCTTGGCTTTGAGATCCAGAGTGTCGAAGTCTTCCGTGTTGCTGCTTCGTCCCCGCAGCAATCCTAGAAGCCACTCCTGTCACGGAATTCGATCCTTACTGGAGACAGCCTTCGGAGCCCCAGCAATCTCAATCTTCTCGGTCCTTTTCTTGGCACGACTTAAGATGTGCCTAAACGGGGTCTAGACAGAGTCTTGATGCGTGTTGCAACTCTTGAATGTGTATTTCGGCTTGCTTGAAGCTAAACTACCTAGAAGCATGTTCGTGCGACCAGTCTTCGCAAATCGAAGAAGACCATTGCAGCGCTCCCAGTCCCAGTCCTGTTCTTCCTTGAGGTCTTGCAGCTGCTTTTGCATGTCACTCCACAGCACAGGGTCCACGGTGCAGAAGCCCTGCAGGGTGCAGCTTTCATGGCTACTGCAAGACTCGCATCGCAAAGAAAAACCGTAGCGTTGAGAGCTGAGCAAGGGGTGCTTTGGGGGTTTATTTGGGGGTTTCAGGGTTAGGGCGTGCCAAACGACGACACCACGTTCGCCTGAAGGGGGACTGAGAACAGATTTGTCTTCGCAGGCCGGGTTGTTCACGAAAACCTCTCCGTTCACAGGTTGCACTTTGCCTCGAGTATCACGTGATTTTGCAAGCAGGCTTCGTTTGCACTTTGGTCTGTCCCGGAAATAACCCCTGCGGTGGGCCATGTTCCCTGATCCGCCAAGCAGGATCAAGCATCACCAAACTTTCTATAAGCAACCAGCGCACCACTGGAGCACTTTCTGACACCCGCTACTTTCTATGCCTTAGAGCTACGTGTGTCAAAAGAGTTCCGGATATATTCTCTGCGAGCCAGCAAGGTGAAGTCACTTGCAGTCTAAAATCCATGACAAAGTCGCGTTGGCATTACCACCGTTCGCCGAGGATTGGTCTGCTGTAACCTCGGACGACCGCAACCAGCGATACGTGAGAAGCACGATCTGAAACGTCCTGTTCCTTCTTGTCGCAGGTTCGCCTCTCATGTTACAAGTAGCGGGCCTTTGGCACTGCACAGAAGCCCCCAACCAATGTGCCCCAGGTCGTTTTGCAAGCAATGGGCAAGGAAGCATTCTCATGTTTTTGCATTTTCTATCGACGCTGTTCCAGAATCATGGGCAGCTGGCCCCCAAGCGCCAGCCGTGTTGCGCACTGAGACGCACCATCATCGGCAGGCGCAAATGATGGGAGTCGTGCCCCGAAACCGCCGCGGACGCAAACAAAAAAATTGGCAGGTCCCGGCAACGACAACATGAGCTGGAATCTCCCTACCGACCGTGGCATGGACGGCCGGGGTGCATGGATTTTGACCGCAACAAGAGTTGGCAAGCAGGTGCCCAGGATTTTGAGCAAGCAGCATGTGTTTAGTAAACCGGCGCAAGTGTCTGCACATTGCACACCCACAGAGTTCTTGCAAGCTTTGGTGAACGTTATGCTGTGCAACCTTGTGCAACGCATGCCTTGTGTTCGTGCAAATCCCAAGCTCCGCTTCACGTGCTTTGCAAGACACAATACCAAACCAGCCCAAGAGTCCTGCAACCTCGTCCCCGGGCGAAACACTGTGAAAACCCACACGACATAGCTCGGCGCAATACGCATCACGAATCGCGGCCCTAATTAGAATGTAGCTGCCGACCCCGAGATCTCTTGATTCGCCGATGTAGTCTCAAGAATCTTGTAAGTTTGGAGTGGAAAGGCACAGTGAGGCTGGTGACATCCGACTTCTGCCGCCTAGGGGCTCCCACGCGGCGAATGCGCTGACTTTGCCGCTGGCCCTCCTCCAAAAGGGTAGTGTAGTCCACATTATACCTTGAGGACAGGTCGTGCGCTTCACCATGAAACAGCTTTGCGCTGAGCTCGCAACAAGAAACCTCCGGCATTGATTTTGGACTGAATCTCCTGGGTTCACATCGACACAGCATAGTGACAAGCTGCAAACAAAAGAAGCCCTCAAAAGCAAAGAAGTCAAACACAGCTCCACAGATTATGCAAGCTCGAGAGCGCTGGGATTCTGGAGCCAATTTTGATAAGCAGCTTCCTTGCACGAACAATCAGACAAGCCTTGATTCTTAACTTCTTCGCACTGGCTCCGATAGGAATGCAATTTGTCGTGCTGAGCCACGAGGAGGACACTGACTTTGGGAGAGAAGCCCAGCCAACGGTTTTCACCTTCCTCAAACTCCCAATATGCCTGGCAAAGAGCTCGAGAGCAAAAGCTTGAAGGAACTTTCTTCTGAGCCTTCACCAGAGTCCGGCTCTGCTCAATCTGGCGCTGCTGGAGGGCTGCGCCCGGGCCGGTCAAACCACTCCGAACGGGCCGCGGCACAGCTGCCGGTGGTGTAAAGGAAAGGCAATACGGGCAGCTCATGAGATCCAGAAGACCTTCTGCACTCGCGAAGCGCCCACACAGCGTGCTGGAACCAGCCCAGTATGAACACAAAACACCTCTCTACTGCAGCAGTAACAGTAACAGTAGCAGGAATAGTAATGGCAACAGTAGTAGGCACAGCAAAACTATTGGTAGAAGCTGACTGTGAATCGTAGCTTTTGCTGACAACTTTCATGTCGTCATAGAGTACTAAGGCGACAGCCGTGTTGCTTGGAAAATGTGGAGTACTGTAGCTTGACAGTCTCAATCTTCCTACATAGTCCAGTCAACAGCTTGCTGAGAAGCTTGAACAGCAGCACTTGGTTGATGGGTGCAAGAGGAGCCTATATGCAGTGAGATATAGTTCGGAAAACGCCAACCATCCACACCGCACCATTTTCGTCGTGGGCATCCCGAAACTGTGGCGGCCACAATTGCGCTTCACCTTCAGTGCGCGCACTATCCGCGTGCATGCTACAACACACCGGGCATTTGCTGATGCCTGCGCTGCTGTCTAGCGTTTTGAGGAGCAAGACATATTTTCACAAGTGCCTTCGCAACCTTTGCAGGAACTCGGGTAATCTAGCTACTAACACTTGCCGCAGAGATCGCAAGACTGCAGCACTCGGACGATCGTGGCATGGAGCTAAGGGAGTGGAAAGCCACCAGTGGTATGGGTCAAACATCATCTTCCAGGACAACTAGGTGACTGAACACTCCATCTGACGCAGCTGAAGACACTGCCTATCCTGTAGCACGTGAGTCGCTCGTCCAGTTTCAGAACCTTTAATTCACTCCGAACACTGCCCAAGCAGGCCCACAAGTGCAAACAACAACGACACACGACAGAAGCTGCTCACTGGCTCACTGCAACTGAAGGAGATGCCTATCTTCAAGGCACAACAAGTTCTTTGCACCGTCTCGTGCGGCACGGAAAAAGAAGCTCCAAGTCTCTTGACCTATTGGCGGTCGGAAAGGCCGTGACCTCCTTCACAGTGCATGCACAGGCAAGCACACTCTTCCTTCTGAAGAACCCCTGCAGGTTGCCACTGTGGCCACACGCGGCCCTGGTACCTAGTTGCAAGATCTCGAGACACGGCCAGGGATCCTTGTGATCTCTCACCGCACTTGCTCTTGAAGCCGCGTGGTGGTTCGTTACATGCGAGAATGGTTGTTTATCTGGGCAAGTGAACATCAAGATCCCGGTTTCGGGAGATGTCCTCCGCCGCCTGTGAAAGCTAACATGAAATGATGATGCACATTCACTCATGCACATTGGTTAAGCTTCTGCACGCATCATTCAATCGTCACAGCCGATGCTTCATCTGCAACAACACATGCTGCTGACACTACTCATGTTACGAGATGTTCATGTATACCTGCAGAATACGGTCACTTCCTGGTCAACTATGTCTGTACACCTGGTTAGGTCGCTGGCAAAGCTGCTGCGCACCAGTGCCAGCCATCAATTTGTGGCCACCGAAGCACTGAAGTGTTCAAGACTCAGCTCTTGCCAGACAAGGAACGCCAGGAAGTCAGAAATTAAAGTTTTAGAGGTGTTAGTGAGCGTACGAAGGTGCCTGCTAGTTCCAGCAAAGGGCTCCTCAATTCGACACACGTCCTTTTGTCTTCGGTTCAGGGAAAGTCTCGCTGACGCCTTGGTGGAAGGGCAAAGCGCAGCTGTCCAATCTTCTCGTCGCATGCAAACGACAAGGGGGCAAGCATGGCCTCTGTCGTCGAAAAGGCGCAGCTCGTTCAAGACAATGGGACTGTCAATGCCCTGAAAACACGCTCGCCATGACAACAGAAGCAGGAGTGCGATCTTTTATGAACACACTCAGTAGACATCATGCCTACTCAACTTGCACGTCTTTCGATCAACATGCCCCAGCTGGCAACATGACATCTGTGGCAAGCATGTGTCGACCGCCACGGCACCCAGCTGGAACAGTAACACCACTGTGGTGAACCTGAAACCTCATATGATAGGTTGAATTATGTGATGTGCTCTCATTACCGACAATGACGAGGCCTTCAGCGCGAAAGCGCCTAATCGAGGCAGTGACCATCCTCAGACACAGGACCGAGCAGTGGGCTGCTGCAGAAGCGTGACAAGTTGTGCAAGACATGAGGGACATCCGCACAAGCCCCGTGTTTGTGCGTCTCGCCTGCACCGGACACTTGTGGTGTCTGTTGCAGCTGCCCGGGGAGACAGGGTGCGGCGATTGGCTGACCGGCAGACCTGAGAGTCATCCACTGGTCATCCACCAGCTGGCATCTAAGGACCTGATGCGAGAACCATTCGGTAGGGCTCCTGCCCATAGGCTGTGGGCATCGCCTGCCCTAGAGCAGCTTGCTGAGGGATTGGCTGCGGGATCATTTGAGGATAGCCTCACACAAAACACAGGCTTGAGCACCACGAACTGCAACTGAGAGTAGACGGTCATTCAACCGACAGTTGAAGCCCGGCCTGCTACGGGTGGCGGTTGGTGCCATTGAACGCCAGGCAGTCGCTTCAAGGCGGCTGCATCCAGAGGCATCTCCCCGCCGAGCAGAACCTGGCATCATGGCGGCTGGCTTCCACGGGCGTTGCATGCATCAACGCTCGCCTGCCCTGGGTGCGAAGCAGCCGCTATGCGAGCCGTCCGGTTGACGATAGTGCCGAAATAATCGGCCTGAGAGCAACATGTTCATGGCAGCTAGGCTGCTGACAGCCAACAATAATGAGCAACCCGGTCTTTGATCGGCAGCATCCCTGCAATGCTGCAGAGTGGCCCGCCCAGTCGAGGCATGTGGTCTCCTAGAAGTGTAGGCACCGCTCAGAGCCTCAGCGGCAGTCGCAGAAAGCTGCATGCCAGGGCATGTAACGACCCTGCAATCCACAACATTCTCGGCACTCTCAACGTTGACATAATTTTCTCCAAGCATCTCCTATTGACACCCGCAGGCCATGAGCATGCATCGGTCCTGCCAGGGCCGACGACAATACGCTTACAGTCTCATCACCTTATTACAGCTTCAAGTTTGGACGGCTCCTTCGAGGGATTTGGCCGCGGCGGGGGGAGGTCTATCACTATTTCACCAACGGGTCCAGCAAGGCGAGCATCACCACGGAGAGGACGACCAGCACCACAACACGACCGCCGGACGATGAATACTCTGATACTAGGACCGCCTCCACTATGACCAGTTGGACAACTTCTAGTTTGCGCTTTGTGTGTTTGACGGAGGCTGGGGCAGGACCACCGCGACCTCCGAGGAACACGGGTCACGGCGCAAATACGACGACCAGGACACCCTGTGAACACTAATTAAGACAAAACGACCACGACTATCAGCATTCCGATTTCTGTTCACTGTTTGCATTACTACTACCGCTACTACTGCTGCTACTGCTACGTGCTGCTACTGCTACTGCTACTGCTACTAGCTACTAGCTACTAGCTACTGGCTACTAGCTACTAGCTACTAGCTACTTGCTACTGCTACTGCTACTGCTACTGCTACTGCTACTGCTACTGCTACTGCCACTGCGACTGCTACTGCTACTGCTACTGCTGCTGCTACTGCTACCACTACTATTGCAACTACAATTACAGTTACTACTACTACTACTACTGCTGCTGCTACTACTACTACTACTACTACGACTACTACGAGTACTACTACTACTACTACTACTACTACTACTAGTACTACTAGTACTACTAGTACTACTAGTACTACTAGTAGTAGTAGTACTACTACTACTACTACTACTACTACTACTGCTACTACTACTAAAAATACTAAAACTACTAAAACTATTAAAACTACTACTACTACTACTACTACTACTACTGCTACTACTACTGC